AGTACGCAGAATATCAATGTCATGATGGTATATTGCAGACAAATGATTAGGATAGAGCTGCAGTATACACAACAGTCGCCCGAGCGTTGGCATGGAAGATGCCGTTGTCGGACACCAATCTTCCCATCGTGATGGAATAGTGGTAAGCCCGACTACGCTCATCAGGGCTCCAACTTTTACCATCCGTTGTCTAGAAACAACTCTTGATTTTGCCGAAGGCTACCTGTGCAGGTTTGATATCATCGTTCTCACTTTCTACACTCTTATTGCCCATAGCTCGAGCACGCGTCCTACACAATACCAATCAGCACTCGGCATCGAGGATGAACAACTAAATACGTAGCAAGACAAGATCGATGAAGAGAAGGGATCAGGGAGCTCGACGACAAGGACACAGAATATCTTGCTTTCTTCGAAGAGATCATGTCCATTACAAGCGTCCCTACTTCAAAACTTGATGCGCGTACCCTATCCTCTTCCTGCTCTTCAGAAAGCACTCTCCGCTCCAGTCGTCTCTTGTCTACTCGTGACGCAGACGCCGGTACTAATCAAGTCATATCCAGCGTCCTCATTATCGGCAATAATTTTGGTATCGCGAATCCAATCGAGATTCTCAGGCTCATCACAGGCTTCTTCCACAAGAACGGCATCTTTGTTCTCTCCTCTAGTCGGGTCTCATCGCTTTCTGACCAACGCGAATAATCCGCTGGGCTCGGCTACTCGTTGCGATGTTTGACCTGCTTTGGGGCATGAACACGACGTTCGCGTCAGCAACTCCGGTGTGGTCTCACGCGCTTTTCTTCAAGCGGCAAGGAGTTGCTATCTATCTCTTTAACACTACGGTCGACTACAGCATCTTGCTAGGCCCAGGGTTCGTCATCGCAATCAAAGTTGACGTTCATATGGCAGTTGCGACGTGTAAGTGGGTCCATTGGATTCGCGTGTCTTGGTCTGTGCATCTCCATCGTCGCGTTGGCATACCCAGGCACGAGTGACAAGACGAACGGGCAGAAACTGGGGCCAGCGACGCGATGGCCAAGAGCAGGAGCTGATGTGTAACCAATGCTTTGTTTTGTGCCAGGTGGCATCTGAGCAGCTGACACCACAAGCTCCAGATGGCTACTGGCACGTTATGCTGGAATTGGGCGGCCTGCATATCCACAAGAGCCTCTGCAGATCTAGACCTGAGTTAGTTGTCGCAAAGGCATGACTAATGAGGCTCCGTCGAGTGGCTGACAAGAATCGGCCAGTGTTCGTAATGGTGATTGCCGGCCGGGGAAAGTATGACGTCGTGTGCTGGAGCTAGTCACGTCCACTAACCGAGGAACGTGTGTTTTCTCCAGCATACCAACCTTTCCTTCTGAAGCGTCCATCTGCCAAGTTTGCAAGCTCTTTCCATACCACTGAGATACTCCATCGACTCAATTGACCTTCCTTCCTCCTGTCAAGCTACACGAACACACCGAAACATACCCAAAGCTAGAAGCCCCGAGCTATACCGCCGAAACCCCGCAAACTTCCCTCCACATAAACACCCCCGAAACCAGTCATGTCCGCTATCCGTGCCTTCGCGACCCGTCGCGCTCCCTTTGCCTTTGCTCAGCGTGCCGCTTTCTCCCAGTCAATAGCCCGCACCGCTGGCAAGGAGTCGGCTCTCCGTACGTCCGCACCGCCAACCTCGGCTTAGCGCCAACAATCACAGCATTGAATGCGTGCCAATATCTTACAACGGGAAGGAACCGAGCTGACATAAGCGAACAGACTCTGAGAACCGTGCCGAGGAGGTCGAGAAGAAGAAGCAGGAGCAGCTCAACAAGAAGAAGGACGGCAAGCAACACTGGGAGGAGCAGCTTGCCAGTGACAGCGAGAGCGCTGTAAGTTGGATCTACCCTATCGGGAAGATGGAAGAACATGGTTATGAGAGAATTGGCTAACGGAGAGAATAGGTCAAGGCGGATCGTTCCGAGACTGGCAAGGACACCAAGCAACAGATCAAGGAGCTTCAGGAGGAGACCAAGAAGGTCGGCCAGTAAATAAATCACGTACGACACGAGCTCGATATACGAGACTCCTTTACGGTCTAAAAGAGGGCGCCGGGCGCCATATCAGACTCGCTCATACTAGGACGGGAGCGTCGGAAGGGAAAATGGGATCATAGCATGATGAGCTATCTGCAGTACCCAATTGACACGATTAATTCAGTCACATTTCACGAAATTCTTCATCTCGCTGAGGACCGCGCCCCCTCCAAATCGTGTTGCTTTCTCTCACAATAGCTGACCTCCTGTCACAGACCGCCTTGTAGCGATACGCCCCACTGTAATTCCGACTATGACCCACCGTCTTCCTTCAGACGCGTAACACAACACGTGAAAGCCGGATACTATCAACGGTACCACATGGACGGCCGTATTGTCGCAGGCGATGAGTGAACCAACGTGCACTATCTATTTGACATCACATCTAGAGCTTGTACAATCTACCAATTTCACCACCCCACCGCACCATCCACCATACCACCCCCCCTCTACACCCTACACAACCTCCCACTATCAAGATCATACTCCCACCCCTCCGTCCCCACCCCCGCCAACACAAACAAACTTCCACTCGGATCATACTTCCTCTTCACCTCCACTAACCTCTCATACCCCGCCCCATAAAACACCTTTTGGAAACCCTCAACATACGGATTCGCCTCGTTCATATACGCCCCCGATCCCGGCGCCCACTCCTCCCACATCGGCTCTTTGACAGCGGCATGCCACGCCGCCCCTATGCTTAACGCGCGCTTCGCACTCCCCGCGGCACGCGAATCAATAGTAGCGCCCGTGGCGATGAAATGAAGGTACGCGGTGCGCCAGCTGGGGTGTAAGGCGCCCCAGTGTTTGGAGGGGGTGGAGTGTACGCCGGGACCGCCTGAGAGGCCGATGGTGGCGTAGTTTCCTGGGTCTGTGGTGTTTTGACTCGCCATTGCGGTTTTCAAATATGAGATGATGCGGGTGTGGGGGGTGTGGATGAGTTCGGCGCGGCCGAGGAGACGGGAGGAGGTGAGGGATTCGCCGCCGGCGACGTTGTCGCCGGATATGGTGGTGAAGAAGGAGGGGTAAGTGGGGTGGGTTGATGTCGACATTGAAGTTGAGACGAGAGAGCTGTCGTTGCCGGTGGTGCTTGTATTGGTGCTGGACTGAAGGAGGAGGGTTGTCAATATGGGTTGGACGAGAGCTTCGACAGCAGCGGGCGTGGTGTTGAACGCCCAGAAGACTTGGTTGAGCCCGATGCCAGTGAATGGACCGCTCGAAACATCGATATCCGGGAAGAACTTCGGTGCCGTACTTCCTACTGCTACGGTTGCGGCGCCTGCGAGACCGGCATCCATGAGGTCGGGTAGCGCACTGAGCCAACTGGCTACTGCCGACCACGACGCTTCCATACTGGCGTTGGAGCTGCCATGTGGCTTGATCTGGACACTTGCCATGACAACGTTACGCGGAGCTGGGTGGTGCTTGATCACGTACTCGGTGACAACGCCATATTGTCCTGCACCACCCCCGCGCAGTGCCCAGAAGAGATCTTGGTTCTGGACTTCGTTGGCGACAAGCACATGCCCGGTGGTGGTTACGACGGTCATCTGAAGAACTTGGCTCGATGCCAGACCGTAGGTGGAAGCCAACGGACCATGACCACCGCCTTGAATGTAGCCTCCCAAACCCACACTGGGGTCCTGGCCTGTCGTCACGACCCGGCCTTGACTTGTCGCGAAGGAGAGAACGTTGCCCCATTGCTGGCCGCTGCCGACGATGAAGACGTCTTCGGGTGGGGAAGAGCTGTTGGCGATACGCCAGGCTGTGTTGCGAGTCAAGCCGCGGAAGTTGCGCGTCCAGATTGAGAGAGAGAAAGCACCGCTTGATCTATCGAGATAATGTCAGCTTACTATCATCCACTTAGTCAAGACGTGAAATGCTTACCGTCCATTAAGATCATGGCCCGTCCCCTTAACCACAATCCTCACATTCCTCTCCACAGCCCACTTCATCGCAGCCGCCACATCAACCTCCTCCGTCGCATTAACAATATACTGCGGCAGCCCCCCAATCGTACACCCCTGCTTCTCCGACCAATTCCCCACTTCATCTGGCAAACAAGAATTATTCGCATAGAGCTGGTAGTCGATCGATTCGGGCTGTTGCGAATGCCAGGTCCCGTTCGACCAGTTGTCGTTGACTTCTTGGCAGGAGAGAGGGGAGCTGAAGGTGGTGTTGGTGGAGGGCCAGCAGGATGATGCGACGGGGACGGTGCGGATTAGGGATCCGTGGATTGTGGCGTTTAGGGATGACCATTCGTAGGGTGTGGGCCAGGATGCGTCGGAGGGGGTTGATCGGCAGAATGGTGGAGGTGGTGTTGAGGCTGCGGTTGCGAGGGCGGGTGATGCGAGGGTGAGGTATCGTAGCATGATGAAGATGGATCGATGGAAGGAACGAACGAGTGTTTGATGAGATGAGTTGAAATGCGTACGGTGTCGACATTCTTATACGTCGCTGAGATTTGTTCAGCTTCGTTTTTCGTGTTACCTCTCTTTCTCGTATTTTCTCTCTTCTCGTATTCGCGGCTCTTACGGACTTCGCCACAGCGGGTGTACTAAAGCGCACCACGAAAGCCGCGTCTCCGACCTAGCTTCTCATTGTTCATGCCATTTAAGATGGAGCCGTGAGAATACCGAGGACCGCAACAATGTGGGAACCTGGGCTTATGAACATGTTGATACCGTCAAGACATTCACGCGAGAGACATGTTGAAGGGTTGAAGATCATTGCTTCATTTCATGGGCTTGGAGACTATCTAGTAGCTCAAGCAATGTTGGTATTGAACCGAGGATGTGCACTGGCTGTGTGCCCGCTGCCCTTGATATCGTGACCTCTTCCCAATCTCCCAGCAATGCTCATCAGCTCAGCGACCTGATCGGCGAAGATTGAGCAGTAGACTATGTCGAGGTTGTCACTCTAGATGATCCAGTTGTTTACGTCCTCCATACCGGAGAAGTCTGAGCTGTCTGGACGTAGTTAGTAATTGGTATTATCCTATCAGGCTGTTTATTTCTTGACTCACTGATGGCATCACTCATCTTGCTGCGCAAGGCAATGATCAACGCCTGATATGACTCTTCAACGTTTGGATTTCCCAAACTCTGGAGCAGAGTGATCAGACGCAGACCACCATTTCCATCGTTCTTCTTGACGTAGGCGACAACCCAAGCTGCGGTATAGCCCTTGACAGTGCCGGTAACGACGTCAAGATCGGTGTCCTTGGTGAGACCTTCGACAAAGACGGCCTTGGCGTGAGCTATATAATGTGTTAGATATACAACGACCCAAAAGTGGTGAGAAACTAACTGAGAATGGTAGCTTTGTACTTCTCTTGGCACTTGGTCTCGGCCAACTTGTCGTGAGCGGAGGCGGGCATGGTTGTTGTCGTGGAGGGTGTGGAGTGTGGAGTGTGGAGTGTGGAGTGTAGAAGGATGAGAGCAGAAAGTAAAAGGTAGAAGTTGCGTTTTAAATACTCTGTGGGCCGAGACGAAAGTAGACATCTCACCTTCACCTTCACTTAGATTTCATCCAAAGCATATGTATTAGGCAAGATGGGGAGTAGATCTCTCACCTTCACCTTTACTTCAATTTGATCTATCTTGCACTTGATATCATGACCCCATCTCAAATTCTCATCGATTCTTATCAAGGCGCAATCTATTGCTTCATTGGCGATGAAACGTAACCAAAACCCTCATGATAGAGCTCCTTCATTCTCTTATCATTATCGGTCTTGCGTTCCATTCTCTTCTCCTCTGTTATAAGACCCTCTAGTCAGTTCTCGCGCCTTTTTACTTGTGGCTATCGTACTTACGGATTTTTCTACCCAACCGCTGTGTAAGTTCCACCATGAGAGCATCCAATCCGTCCGCGAAAGTCTTGTTCTTGCCGACTGAGATGAGAAGTTCCCAGTCTCCTGCGCGGTAACAATCCGAGGAGACACTGACGATGAGGTGCGTTTCGTAATAAGGCTCATTAGATTCGTCGGTCGTGCTGTGGATGATGTCGAAATGTGAACTAGATCGAGAACGCTCGGCACATAGAGCATGGGCATGTACTGCGGATCGATTACAAGTCAGTAAAAAGTACGACATGACCAAATAGTATAATTTACGCACACAGGATCTCCGCCTTCATCTCTTTCTCGTACATGACCGACTCGGGTCTGGGCCAGGCTTTGGTTTTTGTCTCTGACATTGTGCGTTCTATAACTAGCTTCAAGGTTGCGTCGGTAGTAATTTATTGTTGGAGTAGGAGTCAGAGGGTTTGGAGTTGCTGCGCGAAAAGTTTCTTGTCCGCTCAGGTTTCAGGGTACCAAGGTACTGCGAACCCTGGCCCACCTTCTTCGCCGGTACTCGAGTAGTCCACATTCTGCAATGACAAGCGCGCAGCAATCCAACACCAGTGTCCTTATTCGATCGAAGTATTCTTGCAAGAGGCTGCGCGAACGGGGGCGATTGGGGATGTTAGGTATGTACTGCGACTGCAAATCGAACGGACTTAAATAGTACCTAGGTACAGTCGCTTTGAGCGTCTATGCGGATTGATGCTCGCTGGTCTTCTCCAAGTTGGACGACATTGTGGCTGTCGTCGCGCAGGGCTTTGGTCTTAGTATGGGAGTACGAGAGAGTCAGAGCGAGAGGCAGACAATCAAGAGTAGAGGGTCTATAGCGAGATATGTATGGATTGAAGCTCTGACATGCATTCCATCTTCACCTTAATTTCGACCCTACCGATTTCGTATCTGCCAGGGCGGTAACCCGTTTCCTGACTATCTATTATTGCCAGCCAAGAAACTCAATGGATGTATCCTTCTACCGGTCGACTGACAGCTTGGCCGCGACCGCTGGGTTCAGCGCCCGCTAATTACTTGTCAGTGCTGGTATCGTCCTTCGTTAGCTTCTCTGCCTCTTCTGTCTTCTCTACCGTCTGTCAGAAAGCTCCTCTTTCACACAACAGCACTTCTCTACTTACCCATGGTAGCCATAGTTTCGACCATCCGGACACGCAGCTTCTCGATGAGATTGCGGTAGCTTCTCTCGACGAGGAGAGTAGCCATCGGAAGAAAGGCATAGGGATTTTGTTGTTTGACGATGCGCTCCGACTTTAGGACTGGAATCCAGTCGTTGGAAACAGCCTTTCCAGTCTTCCAAACGGCAGCGTCCGGCTGCGGGTAGACGATGAGCCATGAGACAACGCCGTCGCCGTCGTGCATAGATTCACTGCTGTAGATGACATCGAATGTAGAGCCATGGGGGTACTTTGGGCCGTAGATAGCGCGGGCCTGGGCTTTTGAATAGGTTAACTACATAAACAAAGACACGTTCGATGCGGTCAGACTTACACAGTATGCGCGAAACAAGCGCCTCTTCGTGCATGACCTGACTGTACTCTCCCATTTTTCCGTCCATAGACGGTTGTTTAGACGTGAGGGTGATGTGGAGGAAATGGACCGCAGAGAAGGGATTTTGTTATAGGTATTTTGTGTGCCAAGAAGCGAGACCCGATTCTTTAGATGCATTCACTCGTATTCACTTGGTTCAAGCTGTTTTACATGTGTCAAGCTGGCTTTCCTTCCCCAAGTTTCCCATAACGGCCGTTGAGCAAACCGGAAACATCCTTCCTCCTAGAGAGAGGACCAAGCCAGCGTCGGCAAGTTCATCGCGGATCACTCCTCGGCCTTCTTCTTGTATGTCTCAACCAAGCCTGGGTAGTCAGCGAATGGCGATCAGGATCTATGCTTCTTCACTTACCCATAACTTTCTGCATCTCAATCCGCAGTTTGTTGAGGATATCTTGGTAGGCTTGGTTCACGGTGTCCGCACGATCCGATGCCATGATTGGGGACCAATCGGCGGACACGACCTCGCCTGCCTTGAAAGGTTTGGTTTCAGGGTAAACGATGACATAGCAGATGAAGCGTGAACAGCATACATTGTCCCATCCTGTAACGACGTCGAATACAGTGCCCCTGGAGTATATTGGACCGTGAATGGCGCGGACATGGGCTGCGGGGCGAGTTAGTCACATACGAAATGAGTGATACTCAAAACCAACGTACACAGAATGCTGGCTTTGAACGCCTCTTGCTCGACAATGGAAGAAGACATGTTTGATCTCGTCGCGTGAGAAGTCAGATTTTGGGGTTGTTTTGCGAGGAGAGTGTAGGACTGAGAGAGCAGAGAGCAAAAAGTAGAGGGTTTATCTTAAGCTACTACGCCAAGACTCTTTGCGCTCTCGACTTCACCTTCACTTGACATGGCCTCTTTCCCGTCTTCTAAGCTTTACTATTGTGACCGCAAATAGCAAACTGTAGAAAAGACCTGCAAAAGTCTTTTCCTTAGAGTAGATAACGAGACCAAATGACTGCTTTAGCAGACATTTCCAAGATCTCAATGACGACTGCACCTCATACAAGTAAAAAGCCGAACCGGCCTAGAGCCTACATCGACGTTAAGCCACCTACTTTGCATGTTTCAATGACGATGTAGGCTGCAGACCTGTGCAGCTTTTTTCTAGTCATGAACTTTCGAGCTATCAACCCAATGATGAATGGCTCTCCATCTACGGCTACAGTAGCGAGGATCCTTACGCACCATCCGCTGCCTCTGTAGTTCTAGCCCCCTTAGCCTCCGTAGCCATCGCATTGTTCCAGACATCACCAACATTCATTCCGCCTAGATATGATTAGCGGAATCCCAAATCATCGTACCTTTTCTCTCACCTGAGATTTTACCGACCTGCTGTTGTACCGTGTGGTACAAGCTCTTCATAGCCTCGAGGTCCGATTCTGATTCTTCACCCGTGAGCAACAGCTTCCATTCCACTAATGAATCAGGCGTGGTATAGACGATGACTTCAGCGAAATAATTGTCGTCTGGGGCCTGCATTGTGCCCCATTCCATAACGCAGGTGATGACCGAGAAGGTGTGGTGGGAAGTAGGATACGAATGACCGTAGATGGCGCGGGCATGGTCTACGTGATATGTCAGTGAAGGCGCATCATATAAGAGGTAGGGACTGGTACCAAGGACCAGGCCCTTGAGGATTTCGATGGCCTTGAGCGAGTCTAGAAGCGAAGTCGTGGATGATGCCGGCGCCATTGTGAGAAGCAGGTGGTGGCTGGAAGCAACGAGCGACTTGAGTATGTAGAGGTAAAGATTGGGTGTCGAAAGCTACTTGTCTCTGGAAGTCTTGGTAAAGGCTAGCTACTTGCGGAGGTGAAGGCAACCGAGCAAACGCATTGATGTAAGATAAGGCGAAGCATCTACTTATCGCTGAACTGTGACCGCACATCAAGATGTGCCATAGCACCGCTAGTCGTAGGGCCTTTCTACTTCGACCAATCATTGGTGTTCCAAACAATCCGATCAAGAATCAAAACCGCTTTGTATAACTTCAGATGACTTCATGGAGTGCTTTCGGTACTGGAACTTTGTCACGCTGTCGTGACCAGCAGCGTTCGGATACATCAAATCGATGTAGTTTTGAAGCAACGACAAGATGGAGTCGTCCTTTCTCAGTTCGATGGCAAGTTCGATTCCCCGCTGCGCAGTCTTTAGTGTCAACGATCTTTTCGCCGCGTGCTGTGCAGAGAGCAATAGTTCCAAGGCTCTATGATTCTCAATCTCAATAGCAACGCTAAGAGGATTAAGCTCATTGGGAATGTTGAGATCAAAGAAACCGTAGCTCAAAAGAAGATCCAAAGAGTCGTCTTGGAAATTGTTAATAGCATGGTGTAAGGGAGCATATCCAAGGAACATCGTTGAAGGCTTTCCATTACGATGGTAGAAATCCTTAAGTGCGGGGAAAGCAAGATTTGGGAGTGGCTGCACAGCTTCGGGAGATACGCCGATAAGTGGATCGTACAAATCCATCAGGTACTTGATCGCCTGCGTACGACCATTGGTTATGGCTGACTTGAACAGCTGGCAGAACAAATCGGCCAGACTTGGAGCGGTTGACCAGCCCCAGACTTCAACTGCACTCAAGTCTATATGTGTGAAAAGCTCCAGAAAGTCTGATCTTCCAGGCGGTCGGAGCGTGAGCCAAAGTAGTCCGATTGCCTCCTCAATGGATTTGACTATCATTGCGCCACTTTTCGCCATTCGCAACAGATTCTCTGCAGTAGCGCATGATACCGCAGGGAGTTCTGACAGATGTTGTAGAGCGTACAGCTTTGCATAGTGTTGGAAGAGGAAGCCATCCCTGCTCGGTGGGCGAGGCGACTTGGAGTTTTGAGCAAAAGAACTGGAAGCATCGAAGTTGGTCTGCTTTCTTGACCGCAGCATCTTCAAAGCCATAGATTGAACTTTGCCTGCACCCAACGTATGGATGATTTCGGCGGGCGTTGATCCTACATCGATCACAGGCAGGCGAACAGCAAGCTCCGTGCCAAAGATACCGTAACCGAGGTAGGTGACAATGGTCAACGACATTAATTTCTGCGCGTCCTCCATTGTGAAGTGATTTTGCTCCTCAGACCAATCTGCGATTTTGGACAGGTCGCAGCTTAGTGGTTGAAGCAAGTATTGGTTCACACTCGGGTGGACTGTACGTATCGTGTGTTCCTCCTCATCGACAGTGATAAGGCACCCACAGGTTGCTAGTGCCGGATATATACTATTGAGAAGTTTAGAAGGATCCCACGTAGTGTTTGCTGGGGTAACACTCAATGCTTCTCGCATTTCGGGGAGCGTGAGTGGCCGTCTCGCAGCCAAGATAAGCTTGAACATATTCGATCGTAGTGTATGATCAGAAAGCTTTGTTTGCTGGAGTATTTGGCTGTAGATTTGCGAAAGATCTTGGGGCAAGTTGGTGAGCGCTTTTCGAATGTCGTGATCGGTTTGCATCATGCAAAGCGACTGAATTTGAAGAGCAACCCACAGAAACATGTGTTGCGAGCCGTCCAAGAGCGCCTTCGTGATCTCCAGGATAATAGTGGGGTCACCCAAGACCAGCTTCTTTTCCAATAAAGCGGCCTCTAATTGTGCGTCGACGTATGTTTCGATATCCGAAGCGTTGTCGGGAAGCCTGGCAATAGTTGCTTTTGGAAAGTCTTTAGCGATAGACTGCAGCTCGGTTCCAGGTTCCAGACGACGGGAAATGCAGATGTGTACGTTAAAATGCATCGCCATGAGTTCCAGTTGCTCCGTGATTGTCTCTCGTTCTGAGGGAGAACATGTATCCAGGCCGTCAAGTATGATATACAGGACATATTGAGGGGGGACGACGTGACGCATCAGAGCGAGGAGTTGAGGAAGATTGTACCTATCCAAGACCTTGAGTTCATGGAGGGAGTGTTCGAGTGGGCTGATGATCTGGCGTACGAGTGCACCAATCACGGTCCTTGCGTGTTTGCTCTCGGGGAGATCGTGTCGGCAAAAGAAATATGCTAGCCCAGAAGTTTTTGGCTCGATGCGCAAGTTAATATCATCCACAATATTCGCAAGCGTAACGGATTTTCCATAGCCAAGTTTGCCAACCAAAATCAGACTCTCTGAAGCTGGCGCCCCTATCCATTGGTTGTACTCAGGTAATTGCTTATACAAACAGGTGTTACCAGCTTTGCGGATCTGTCTCCATGGGGTCTCGTAGTCATAGGTTGAACAGCGATTCCAGATCTTATGAAGAGTAATCTGCTTTTGCCGTTCATAAGCTCTGTTAAAGCTGGAGCTCATCAGTGCTCTGAAGGCCGAATTACTCTTAGCTTCCGTTTCTACCGTTTGTGCGACAAGGGTTGTGATCTCTTCTTGAATAGATTTCGACCAGGTAATAAGGCTTGCTCGCAGTTCTTTGATGTCGCTATCGTTGAGCGAAGATACGAACTGGGCCGGCCCGGATTTCTGGGTATACCGATGGAAACGAAGACATATATGTACTACAACAATGAAGAACTCGATGATGTTGGTTTGCAGGGTCTTTGAGCGAGGGTACAGCACTGCCAAATCTGAGTGCTGTTGGGTCGAATGGCCAGCTTCCATAAGAAGGGAGGACAAACTTTCGATGTACTCCGAACGCTTAGTAGCCGCCTAAAGTCATTAAGCGGTTAGATTGATCTCTGTAATGCAAGAAGTACCGAGGAATGGGTTCTCAGGCTTCGACAACGAAGTAGAATTCAGATCCGCAAGCAACATAGATGTACAAGGCGCACACGTACCAGTAAGGTCATCCGTATCACTGTCCATACACCACAGGCGGCGACGTTCTGGGAACTGCCTACAACCACATCGCCAATAGCAGCAAACTCTTGCGCTCCATGGAAAAACTTGGAAAACCGAGGTCCAAAGCAACGCTCTCCCACCTTTCGCGAAGAGTTGATCTCTGCGGTGAGTCGCATAACGTCCTTGGTGCTCGGAGGAGACTTGACCGTCTGCGTCCGCTGGGTCTGAAATGTGAGCTTTTGTCCGTCCAAAAGGCTTGCTTCGAACTGTTTCACAGCTTGACCCAGTCGAATCTCCGGCTTCAGAGGAGCCGCGGCGGCAAAGTTGAGGGCCATGGTGCCATGGAAAGACGGGACACGCGTGCTGGCAGAGAGGGCGAGGCTACGAGTGTTTGGAGTGGGGTTGAGAATCCGAGAGATCGCTGAATGTCCCCAGAAATCGTGATTGAGGGCGTGAAGATATATGCTGCGGAAGTAGTCACCACCTTAGTTCGGTTGAGGCCAGTCCTGCATCATTCAGCCCTCAGCCGCATGGAGGCGCTGATTAGCCTCCACAACCAGGCGGGGTAACCACATCCTCGTGTCTTTTCCTTTGCTGTGCTCACGGGCCATACTGTCGACCTAGGAATGGAGAAAATCCAGGAATATGCGAGTGCGAAGGTATGAGTTCAAGGAGCCGTGGGTAGACAGCGTGAAGACCCGAATAATTAAGGCCATCAAGGGAGTACTCTCTGCGATACGATTCACAAGGTGTGTCTCGGTTCGATATAGTGCAGTCGGAAGCATGCCAGCGGTTCAGCCTGCATCCATGCTGGGGAGAGTGGTGGCTGGCCATGGACGCGTCTCGATCAAGATGGAGGTCCACTATCGATAAGCCCGCAGCACGTGCCACCGCGACCCTCGGTTTTCGGCGCAAACCATCATCGCAACCTAGACATTTCTGCCTCCAACCCTCACACCACACCCCCGTCAACCCCCGTCCTACCACCCAAACCTCACGCACCAACACCACCGCCAAAATGTCCACGGCCTACAACCCCCAGCAAACCACGGACCCAGCAACCGTCAGCCAAATCGACGCAACCGCGCGCACTGTGCACTACAAATGCGGCGACTGTGACATGGACGTGCCGCTGAAGCGCGGAGAGCCGATTCGGTGCAGGAACTGTGGGCATCGTGTGCTTTATAAGCAGAGGACTAACCGGTAAGTGATTTTGAGTTCTTGAGGGGAGGGAGGTAGAGAGGCAGGCAGGGAGAGGGAGAAGGGTGTGGGAAGCAGGGGCAGGCGCAGAAATTCGGGGAGAAGAGAGAAACAAGAGGAAGCGCGCGACAAACCAGGCTCAGAAAAAGAAGAGCGCGAAAGAGGAGGCAAGAAGCTGTCAAGCGCGATGCAGCACAAATACAAAAGGCGGACAGCAGAACCTACACGAGCAGTCTCTCTAACACAACATCCAGTATGGTCCAATTCGAAGCCCGATGAACGCGCACCTCCCCCAACTCTTCCAACGAAACAACATCACACGGCAGGACGGCGAAGCGGCGACACGGACGGGACTCCAACGATCTCGGTACATCAATATCAGCGTGCACAGCGGGGATAAGAGATCCAGCGACGGGGCTTTTCACATATGATAGCGACATTTGCACACGGAGGAACATGAGCAAGAGGAGACATGTCAACTTGGTATTTCAGAAGGCATTAGTACAGGAGTTTGATTCGGATATTTGAACGCGGTATGGAGATAATAGCAGCAATTTCCCAGACTCTTCAATCATCACAAGCACGTCAGCCACCATGACTATTATCACACGCTTCATTCTTCCTTCTTTGACGTGACCTCCAATTTCAACAAGGAAGAGAAACCAAATAGCATGACGACCCATTACTCCATTCGCGCGCTGTGCGCAAAGATTTATGTAGTATATGGTTATGATATGATGTGACAGTGGTGAGTGCCAGCCAGGACACTTTCCTTCCCATTCCAGGCTTCATGCTATCAAAAGAGAACGGCAGATAGACGGTAAGAGAGAGTTCTCGACCCCAGAAATCCTGACTACCCTTCCTAAACACCCCCGCCCCCCATGCCTCTTCCTTCATCAATCCACCCAACAGAATACCAATCTACGACCCGCGGAACGCGTCAAAGCGCTTATACGTGTACCCAATAAAGGGCAGACTGGTTGCATACTCGTCTTCATTCGCCTGTGCGGCCTGCGCCCTGTGAGCAGCCGAGGTATCATTCTGGTCAATTTCGTCGATGGGAAAGTATTGAGTATCAATGTTGGACTGCAGCTTAGGCTCGAACGGTGCGCGAATACGGCGGAGACCGTCCCAAGAGACGCCGCGGAAGAAGGGGTGCTGTTTGATTTCGTTGGCGCCGCCGATGCGACCGAGGCGGTGTTCGGCGTCACAGATGAGCCTGGACATGTATGTTAGTTGCTGGGATGATGGGGATTATAGTGTGGGAAAGAGGCGCTTACCGTCGGACAAAGTCTTCAGCTTCGGCGCCGAGTTGCTGGTCGGGTGGGAAGTGCAGGTTACGCGGCCAGTCGACAATCTTGCGGTACGTGTCGTGTGGCTCCTCAGCGCAGAACGGCGGCCAGCCGATCAAACACTCGAACATGATTGTGCCTACCGACCACCAATCACAGCTGTAGTCGTAACCCTGACCGCTGAAGATCTCCGGCGCGATGTAGTCGGGTGTACCGACGGTCGAGTAGGCGAGCTGTCGACGAGACTTACGCCATGTGTTGATTTGGGTACGGTTGCTGACAGTCAGTTGAATCTGGTCTAGGTTCATTGATTGTCGGTTGTCGCGGTTCGATTTGTGTGCGCCGCCGGCGAGCAGCTTCTTGTAGTAGTTGGCGTCGTGCTCCTTGTGGAAGCCTGTCGACAGACCGAAATCTGTCAACTTGATGTGGCCGCCTCGGTCGAGAAGGATGTTGTCAGGCTTGATGTCACTGGGAGAGTTAGAACCTCGTCTTGGTACGACTACGAAACACATACCGGTGTATGAAACCAAGCTTGTGGACGGCCTCTATCGCAAGCGTGATCTCGGCCATGTAGAAACGTGTAATGTCTTCAGTGAAGATTTCGTACTTGATCAGCATCGTCATCAAGTCACCACCTGGCAGGAACTCCATAAGCATGTAAAGGAAGGTGTTGTCCTGGAAGGTTGTGTGCAGCTTGACAACCCATGGACTGTCGGATTCGGCGAGAATGTCACGTTCTGACCGTACGTGGGCCAACTGGTCTTTCTTGAACTGTGGCGTGTGAGATGAATGCCAAACATGGATATCGAACGAGGACTGCCTACCATCTCCTGCTTCACAAGCGACTTGAGCGCGTAGATCTTGCCGTCGTTGCGCCGTTGCACCAGCTTGACCTCTCCGAACGCACCCTTACCGATAATCTTCAGTGTCGAGAAGTTTTCGGGCTTCTCCTTTGTCCGCAGGAACCGCAGGTATTCGACTTCGGCACGGCGCATGCTGTCCTCCTTGGACCGTTTTCGGCTGTCGGAGATGGACGTCTCTTTCATAAGGGCATCGAGTTCAAGAGCTCTGCAGCTAGGTCAGTAGTGCTCAGCAAAGAGTCTGGGAATCCAACCTTTGGTTTCGGTCGCGAGCGCGCTGGACACTATCCTTGAAGAATGTATTGATGAGACTCTTGGATACCATGGCCTGCTTGTCTACATTCTCAGTGTACTTGGTGGGGTTTCGTTGCGGCGCCTCCTCATCGTACAGCGAGGGCTGTCGGGGCCCCGAGCTGCCACCCTGGCTTCCGTAGCCATAGCCTCCTCTGTTGTCTGCGGTGCGAGGGCGTCCAGGGTTTGGGGAGGCTTGTCGGCCGTAGGGGCTTCCAGAGCGACCGCTGCCCCCAAGGTGTTGGTGCGACAGTTGTTGGGCGAGGCCATTGGCGCTCTGGTCGAAGCGCTGGCTGCCTGGCGCCTGGAGGTTGCCCTGCTGCCCTTGGTATTGTGCCTGCTGGTAGGGGTTCATGAAGTAGCCTCCGCCCCCGTTGTAGCCATTGCCCTGTTGCTGCTGCTGGGCGCCCCAGACTTCCTGCTGGCCGGCCTGGTTGGGGTATACAGGTTGCGGGAACGTCGAGGGTGTCGTCGGGAATGCTCTGCCGACTTCCTGCTGGTACTGCTGGTTGTTTCGGTCACCGCCGCCGAAGCCAAAGTTGAGCTGCAGGCGGTTGCCTTGCTGGTTGTTGTTCATCGTGGCGGCCGCAATCGCTTCGGAGGGGAAGTCGGTGTAGTCGTGGTGGATGTTGGGTGTCGAGTAGCGGAGGAACACCAAGTCTGAGTCTGGGCGGTGGAGACGACTGGATTAGGAACAGTGACAATGCCGCTCTCTCACGGGCGTCTGAGCGGTCCACGGCGACTGCAGAGGATTCTTCAGTGCGGCGCTGGCAAGGAGAGGGAGGTGCTGGGGAGTGCCGCAGTAGCTCGGTCAGGGATAACAACTTTAGGGCGAGCTGGGACCACCGGGCGGGGAACTGTGCCAGCAACCCAACACATGTTTCAGACGGACTCGGAGGAGTGCAAGTTAGGAATGCATCTCGATACTCCTACATACCTAGGTAGATGGTATCGCAATTCATAGTGGACATGAGGCCTCCTCCGCCGCCCCTCCACCTGCCCCACCCACCCTAAGGAACTATGCCAGCAACCCAACTCACGTTTCAGACGGACTCGGAGGAGCGCAAGTTAGGAATGCATCTCAATACATGCCTGAGTAAAACATGTTCTAGCAGTTTAGTCAACACGAGACGCCCTCCACTGCCCCTCCGCCTCTCATGCCTCTACCCACCCACCATTATGCCAACAACATCCTGCGTCTCAGACATACCCGGCCGAGTCGAAGCATGTGCTCGCCCGCTTGAGCAATTCACCTTGCTTGTGCCGCCTGTCCGAAACAGGTCAGGACGGTACAAATCCGACAGCCTGTCACGCCGTTACTGTACCCCAGGACTCGAAATAACGAACCTATCATCAAGCTATCGATAGCGAACCTCCAGCCGAAAGAGGAGCACGTTACACAAAACAAAGGCAGCCACACGAGGAAGCAGCGTGGTTAAGCGACGAAAAACACAACAGTGCAACATCGGGTAACAAATTCAGAGGTACAAGCACGTTGTTGTCATTCAATAGTTCGCAAGTGATGTAACACGTCCAACCATCATCCATTATACCATTACAGTACAATTACCATCGGCAATTCGCTAAGCGAGGGTTACATAGTAGCAATCCAAAAGAACGAGCAGGCAGAAGCCCCCGAGATCTCAACAAAGTCCGCCATGCAAAGGTTTGTGTAGCGCTGAGAGAACGCTGTGTACCATCGACGGGTATAGAACATTGACGACCAAAAAAAGGTTGTCTGTCAAACAAAAAGTGTGTTCCGGTCGGTTGGGGACCGGAAAAGTATACTAAGACAATATTGAAGGGTGAAAGTAAAAGTGTAGTATGCGTAGGATCGTGAGGCCCATGTAGATGCGGGAGCTGGGTAAAACGCCGAAGATGTAAAAAGGATGTCCCAAAGACGATACGGTGGTATCGAGGATTTTGTCGAAAAGAAGGTATTATGTATAGCTGTTGAGTCCAGCGGGTGTCGGTAGGATCATTATGCGGTCGTGGCCATTAGAGCCTTGACCTTTTCGCGTTCGGCGACGATCTCGGCTTGCAGTTTGCGTGTCTGCCTCATAGCCTCATCCCTAGAAACATGTTAGCACACACTCGTTATTCGTTGTGTCGGATTGACATACCTCTCGAATTGCAGGTCAGCGACCTCCATCTGAGCAGTGTTCATGCGGCCAACGACTTCCTCCATCTCGTGATCGGCATCGCGAAGAGCCCTCTCGAGCTCCTCTACGCGCTTCTCAAGCGACTCCGTCTTGGTGGCTTCAGCTAGGCTCATGGCGGGTCCACTTGAAGTTACGTCAAGACGAGGAGACCGTTGCGAGAAGACAGGGGACGATGGAAGCCTGGGAGAGAACGCCGAAGGACTGAGGAGTCCGGACTTGACACGGCGCAGGTGGTTGGTGTGGCTTTCCTTGATAGCCTGAACCTCGTCTTCGTGGCGCGCGACAGCGTCTTCTGAAGACTGTTGGGCGAGCATGACCTTGTCTTCTGCTGCCTTGAGCCTCTTCTCCAGCTGGATGATTTGCTCTGTTGACCTGCGTTGGTCCTGTTCTCCGCGCATGATCGCGTCAGTAAGACGTTTGCGCAGAGCGCTGTTGGCAGTGAGTTGCTGCTGGATCTTAGCAGAGAGCTCGTCCATGCGGGTGGCTGCAGCAAACAGCTCCTTGCTAAGCTCTTGTTCTCTGCCCAAGTGTTCGATCTCGGACTGTTGAAGGGCACGAGCCTGTTTGCGGTACTGCTCGGCTTCGTTCTGCGCATAATCGCGCTCTGCCTCTGCATCAGAAATGCTCTGTTTCAAGAGGTCCAGAGTTCGTTCAGCTTCGGCACCGGCAGCGCCGAGTGCATCTCCGTCGCTCGACTCAAGTTGCTTGACGCGAGCAAGCGAGAGGGCATGAGTAGTTCGTAGCTCGTTGTAGGCCTTGTCCAAGGCCAAAGGTTCGTTTTCTATCCGGATCTCGGGTATCGAGATGTCGTGTTCTCTGAGCAGCTCGCGAAGGGAACCAGTTTCTTGCTGTGCACGATCCAGGTCCATTCGCAGTCCACCAAGACCCTTCTCGCATTGCCACTTCTGTTCAAGTGCTTCGTCGGCTCGGCGGCGTAAAGAGTTGACTTCCTGTCTGAGGACTGTAACCTCTTTGTGGAACGCAGTCCGGCGAGGAGTGAGGTTCAGAGCAGCGTCCCTCTCAGCCTCTACCTCTTTGATGCGGCGCGCGAATTCCTTCTGCTGCAGCTCTTGCCGTTGCAAGATGTGTTTTAATGCCTTGTGGAGTGCATCCCGTTGCTCTTCCAGCTCCTTCATAGGGTTGCTGACCGTCGGTGCACCGACTGGTGATACATCCCCCGATCTGTCCTTGACGGAGTTAGAACGTGATAATGAGCCTCGTTTCGAGTTGAGGCCAGCGGAGCTACGGGCTAGCGAGTTCGAGCGGGTTAGACCGACTCGTAGATTAGGTAAAGGGCCGAGATCTCCTTCCTCTTGAATAGACTGGACCCGGGACTGTTGTGGTGCTTGTTGTTGCATCATCCTTTGCTTAACAAGCGACTCGTTCTCGGATTTAAGTTGTTGGATCTCCTGTTGCATACGAGTAGTTTCGTACACGAGCTTTTCTGTGTCGGCAGCATCTCCTTCAAGCACTTCAAGCCGCGCCCGGAGTTGGGGTACCACTTCGTCGCGCAGGTTGTCGGCCTCGTTGCGATGCTTCTCCAATTCATCGCGTAGTGCTGTAAGGAGGTCTTCGAAGTTTTCCTTGACCTGCCTTTCCTCAGCCAAGCGCCTCTTCGCATCCTCGAGCGACATGGAGAGCTCTTTGACCTTGGGTGTCTCAACGACTGAGCCTGCCCTTGACTTGTCGCCAACCTGGTCTTCGAGTTGTTGCACTTGCTCCTCTAGATCTCTTCGGCGTCGCAGCTCATCTTGTAAGCGTTCTGCCATCTGCATTTTTATTGTTGCACGCGCCTGTTCTGCCTTCCTTCGTTGCATCTCGACCTCTTCGAGCTTGCTCTCGGGATCGCTGATTGGGAAGCGGATAGAGCTTGTGCCAGAATCCGAGTAGTAGTCGCTCGTCCTACGATTGTCAGACATGGCAGTGGAGCTCTCTGCCTTCCACCGCTCGACCTCGTCTTCTAGCTCCATCTCTCTTTGTATCGAGGCAGCAAGCTCGGAGCTGACCTCGCGCAACTCGCGCTCCAGCTCTTCTACGTGAGCGTTCATCTGGGGCGATGATGATAGAAGTGGAGTTCCGGGGACAGTAAAGTACGAGCCGAGCGAATTGGCGGCCGGAATGTCTAGGCCGTTGGGTTTTGACTTGGAGCCCATGCCGGGTTGTCTGTAGCGTGGAGAGTCGGGTGATGAGTGTTCTGAGAAGGCGGTGGCTGGCGACGCGGGCTCGTTTTGGGGACGCGAGTTCCAACCAAAGAAGGAGGTGAATCCTCCTCCGCTGGGTGATTTGGGTTTTGTGTTTTGGCGGGTAAGTGAAGGGTCCTCGGGACCGTAGTTGTAGTCGTCCATGAAATCTTCCGTGACACCGTTCAAGTCGAGTTTGAGGTCTGGCGGCGGTTGCGATGCGTTGTTATACACTGGCATGTTCGGCATGGTAGGGGATCGGGCGTGTGCTCCCCGGATGCCAAAGGCCTTCAGCGCCTCGGTCTTGCTCTGTCGTTGGAGTTGGATGCCGCTGGCCGATCGATCATGCCGCGCGGCAGACGGTACGGTTGGGGCGGTCGGGGGTTCTCGCGTTGCGACGAAGAGCGAGCTCCCACGATCACGTTCGGAGAATTGGCGGGGTGCGGTTGCCGTCAGAGGGGTCCTTCCATGTGGGTTGCTGGTGGTGTTGTTAGCGAAGGGTCGATGAAAAGAAGGCGCGATGAAAAAGGAAAGCGCGTGTCGGCACTTACTCGTCGAGGTTCCGGGGCAGGAAGAGGTCTTCGTCAGTGACTGGCGGCGACAGCACGGTGTCGGGGGCGCGTCCTCTTTGAGCAGCGAGATCAACGCTCTTATCAGGTGCAGCAGCAGATGGGAGGTTAGATTGTTGATCGACAGTAAAGCGACCAACTACGGGGGAATTCGCGGGAAGGGGCTTTCTGCGGACCGGGGACTGGAGGACAGCGACAGGCACAGGTTGCGAGGACTGGGACCGAAAAGCAGCAAAGGACGAGATGGCAATCGAGGCCAAGGACGAGCCCTTTTGGCGAGGCGGCGAGGCGAAGGCGTTGGGAGCATGTGCGCCCTCGGGGGACGCTTGGACGGCTTGCATATTCTCGTATTATCCCCCCGCGATAGACATGGCGTGCACAAATGATGGGCGCAGAGGGAGGTGGAGAGTCTGCCAAAAGTCGCTTCTTCGTAAAGGGGACCCGCCTAGCTCGCCAGGTACAGCTGCCGGCGAAGGGGGCGCCCAGGGGCCTCTGAGCCGATCGCAGCGCTCGAATTGGTCGATTCGGGCGCTCTACCTGACCGTGATGGGCGGTTCGCGCTGCTCGAGGTGGAGCGAGCCGCGCCAGGGGGCTTTTTAGGGTTAGGATGGCTGCAGGTACACTTTTTACCCAGCCAATGGGCGCCGCAGACTAAGGGGAGGCTCAAGAGGGCGCCTCGTCTGTCGTCGTGGGGAGTGGGTTGCGGAGTGTGATTCGGGGATACGCTCAATTGCAAAGTGGGTGTTGATATCTCAGAGTCGCGCGCTCCGGTCGAGTTGACGTTGACGCTGGCTGCCCAGGTGACGTGCGGAGGCGCCTTTGCCTGCGACGTGAAACACTCCATGAGGCGCTGAACCACCAAGACTCGATCCCAGCCGTCACCATGTGCATAGCGACTGCAACCCTGCCATGTGACACCCGCAACGGGTGGCTTGCAGTGGATTGCATGCGACCTTTATTTTGGCATCGCGCAATTTTCCGACAACCACGGATGTATCCAAATGAGGAAGCCAGCACGCTAAGGGGCAGCTGTACTGGGATGTGGCTGATATTCGCCTGCCGCGAACGACGACAGTGCTCACGACGACGACTCATGACGACCAGTCCAGCCTTTCGGCCTATGCTAACGGCGAGGATCCTTCTTATGGAGGTGACGAGGCCCCTGAGATGCAATCTTAGATTCACAGCCGGCTGCATATCTCGCCGCCTGAATCGCATGTGCTGATGCCTTGACTCTCAGGCATGCTCCCGACTGCCGACGCCGCATGACTATCATGCCATGGCAATTTGACATCTCCACACATACTGCGACGTTGCGTGCGTGGTCTGATATTAGTATTTATAATTACTTCAAGGTGGAGCGCTCATCGCCAGCCGCCGACACGGCCTTCATCCCATCGCTCCTTGCGCTCTCCTCGAAGGTAGGCGATCTTTCGGCCCTCCCTCAAGCGCCTCACAAAGTCCGTCACTTCGCGGTCGCTAGCCACGGCATCCCCACAACCGAAACCTTCGCCTTCGAGGAAGCTTTCTTCTAGTCCTCGACATAACGCCTCTTGCTCGCCTACTGAAGCACTCAGCCTCTGATAGAGTGCTGGTGGACTGAACTCTCGCAGTGCCTCATCTTGCTCAGCCTGCTTTGCCTTCCACTGACGCTCCAAAGCCTTAAGTGACAATAAACGCGACTGTGTGCTATCTCGTTGGTGCTGGACATGTGCTTCCAGCTGTTTGAGTGACTCTGCCAACCCTACATTCTGTGCGAGAAGCGCCTGCAGAGGCGCAATCGATGCAGGTAATGATGGGTGTGTTGTCTCAGGATTGTGAATTATAGCATTTTGCAATTCTGGCGTCTGAAGCACATGATGCAAGTCTTTGGTCCTACTCGTACCTTAGTAGTTGGCTTAGCAAGGATGCAGGGTTGGCATACGGTTTGTCCTTGAGCACATCAGGCAGCCAGCCATCGTCAGGCGGTTGGACTGTCAGTTGCTCGGGACCTGTCTGCGAGTACTGCTGTTGTGAATACGAACTCTGTTGTTGATCTCCCGAATACGATGATTGACCTGGCGGGGGTGGGGGTAATGGAGGTCCTTGTGATGGAGTTGCATTCCCACTTGACCGTCCTGGCTTTGGTGGGGGCGGTGGTGGGGTTGATGCATCGTACTGGTAGAAGTTTTGTGAGTGACGTGGGGAAGAATAAGCCATGATGAGTGATGAGTGGAAGTGGTGGAAATAGTGGTTGCATGTGAGGCTCAGGTAGAGGTGGTCCATTACCCAGGTGGTATTGCGTGTGCTAGCGCGTCATTGGGATTCGATCTAATCTTATCTCATCAAGACCCCTGCACTGAGGCCACAGCAGCATCAACCAACTTTGGGGCACTGTGTAGCTGTGGACACGTCTGGACGCGCCTGCTCATACTTCTGCCTACACAATTCTCTCGCCGCCTTCAAATACCGCCTCGACCTCCATTTCATTCACCACCATCTATCGCAGCTGATCTACAACAAAAATGGCAAGCACTTCCCCACCAACGCGCCCAACCTGATCGTGTCCGCTAACTTGCGACTGCCGCTGTAGGCCAACGTTATAGCGAACTCCGGCCACGATGACATGATTGTACGTTCTCTATAAACATCCGCCTCTATCTTCACCCCACATTCGTACAACACCACCAGCCAGCGCAATGGGCGACAACGACCCACCCCCGACCGATTCTAACGAGGTACAGCATGACGCCGTACTGGATTACTATGGCAGGCGGCTCGCGACGTGTTCTTCGGACAAGACCATCAAGATCTTCGAGGTTGAGGGCGAGAAACATACACTGGTTGAGACCCTGAGAGGGTAGGTCAATCCCGAAGAAGTCATGCTCCTGCGGCACTCGACGCTGACGTTCACAGACATGAGGGCGCCGTTTGGAGCGTAGCATGGGCACACCCCAAATACGGAAACATCCTCGCCTCCTCCTCGTATGACGGCAAGGTCCTCATCTGGCGCGAGCAGTCTGGCAGCTGGCAGAAGATATACGAGGTCGCCCTACACACACAGTCGGTCAACATGGTCGCATGGGCTCCTCACGAGGCAGGCTGCCTCCTTGCCTGCGCATCATCTGACGGCAATGTCTCGGTGCTCGAATTCAAGGACAACAACTGGACACATCAGACCTTCCCTGCTCACGGAAACGGCGTAAACAGTGTTTCTTGGGCACCTGCCTATGCGCCGGGACAGGTCATCAGCGCAAGCGGAAACCAGGCAGGCGCTGCGAAGAGGCTAGTCACCGGCGGAACCGACTGCCAGGTCAAGATCTGGGAGTTCAGCCCCGAGAGCGGCAGCTGGAACGCGACACCGCTGTAAGTCATTGTCGCGGATCCACGATATGGACATTGGCTAACATTCTACACTAGTGGCGGTCATGCAGATTGGGTACGCGACGTCGCATGGTCCCCTACCGTTCTCTCAAAATCGTACATCGCCTCCGCATCCCAGGACAAGACTGTCATTATCTGGACATCATCAGATCTACGCGAGTGGAAGCGCACCCAGCTTGACGTCGACGCTGCCGCGTGGCGCGTGAGCTGGAGTCTCAGCGGCAATGCGCTCGCAGTCAGCACCGGCGACAACAGGGTCAGTCTATGGAAGGAGAGGCTCAGCGGCGGATGGGAATGCGTCAAGACCATCGAGGAGTAGAACATCTCTATAAAAGACAAAGCAGAGCCTGGGACTTTCTTGCAATACCCCGTACGTCTCGGCCTCAAATTCAGGACCGACCAGTGGCCACCATATGAAGACGACGGGCCGTGGTGTACTGAATACGGGTGTTACCAGTTTACTTACGAACTATATTGATGTAAGAGCATGGCACGAGGGCATAGTGTGATGTATAGGTGTAACATGAGCGTAGCCTTCAATTGATTATAAGAATCGTCGCCTTGCCAAAGCTTTACGTGAATTGCAACAAGTCTTTTCCAATGGCCTCGCTCAGTACGTAAAGTGACATGCGACGTAGCTACTGAAGACTGTGGACCATGCCAGCACCCCACATATTACACTTATGAGATGAACATACCAGAAAGACTGCAAGACCGAGCAGAAGCCTTGTTCAGATTAACCCATATGAAATTCGTTCCAGGGCCGGCGAATGATTACGACAGGAACACAGGATCATGCATGCGATTCGTCATGGCCGAGTGGTTAAGGCGCTATGCTCAAGAGATGCCGTTATCGACGGTTTTCCCAGAAGTTGCCTGATACGGTATGTGCAAAGGGCGCTAGCTTCAGCCTCATCGCCCAGGTGGAGCTGACATCTAGACCTACATACCTACGCTGTTCCACTTCACAACTACATTGCGCATCCCGATATAGTTCGTCATCTTCCGTAAGGGACGACTTCCGCTGCGGCTGTCTCGTACTGAGCTTGTATCTGTCTTCCGAGCTTCGTCGCACCTGCACATTGGTGCCTTGACGCTAGCCTTGTACAGGACAGCTGCCTAACTCCTCACAGACATCAGCCAATCGCGACCAACAACTCTCGTTCTACGAACCTTGGGAAGAGATATAAATCATGGCGACAGCGGAAGTTTACCAGCAACCGGCTTCCTCTCCTATTCATACGACGCCATCACGTCGTCAAATGTCTCCAGCTGCTGCGATGTCAAGCACACCAACAACACCAACACCATCTAATCGTGCCAGCCAGACGGCCTTTACTCCGGTGCAACTCGAAGCGCGAGCAATTCTCTCACACCTCCTCACACGCCTCTCCCAACCCCCTGTCTCTTCCTCCGACGATGGCAAACCTCACCCTTACCACAAATACGCCCCCTGGATCTCTCACCACGGCATCGCCACCCTCACTCAATCAATATACACCCTGATACGACCTCAAATCTGGCATCTCCTCTCCTCCCGCCTCTCTCTCGACGCCCTGAAGCATCTTGGCGGGGATTTGCGTCATGAAGGCCGGGCCATCTACCTCAATGGCATCTTAGGCGTTGATAAAAGATTGAGAATCTACCTCGGCCAGAGTAGTAATTTGCGTGTGAGAGTGGCGCAGCATTTAAACTTCAGGTACAGAAGAGATCATCCGAGTCTTCATTATTACGCGTTGGAGTGGAGCATCTACAACGTTTTCGGTCTACTAGCTGTGCTTCCCTCGGGTGGTTATGGCAATGCAGTACCGGGGATAGATCACCCAGAACTGGTGATGAATGTGCTGGAGATGTGGATGTGTCTTGTGTTCCGGTCGTTACCCGAAGACACCCTGAAAGAGTGGCTACCAGATGACGTGCTCGTCGATAAGAAGAAGTTGACGGCAAAAGAGGGGGTTGTAGGTGGCCTCAACGTAGCAAGTCCGCTGGATCAGGGTGTGGAAATGAGAGAGAGGGAGTTTGTGGATTTGAGTGAAGAGGACGATCCCGTCATGCGGGATTATCTGAAGGAGATGCAGAGGAAGAAGGGTGATGGACTGATTGGAGAGAATCTGAAGGAAAGAAAGACGAAAGATGTTGAAGTGGACGAAGAAGAACGTGCGCTGAGGAAGAAGATGTACGCCGAGAAAGCACGAAGGTACCAGCGGAGAGATACGGACATCGTTGTTCCGCAGTGGGTTTTCCTTGGTACTATGGCGGTGGGTGTGGGATTTATGCTACTGAGGAGTAGTGGGGGACCGCAGGCTAGAGGAAGCTGGAGATGAGGTGATGAAGGCCTTCTTCCCTCGTTTCTCATCTGAGATGAAGGCAACGAGATCCACGTCGATCGTATTGACGTTGGCGAAAGGCCACCACAAGAGTGCCCCGAAGATCAGCATTACTGGATATTCAAGCCCTAACGTACACGACCAAAGTTGATCGCGAGAAAGGTTTCTAGGTTCGAGCGCGGAAGCCAGCAGAAGCGACCTGTAAGGTTTCGTCCGAACAAGATGCGATCGCTGCGGTAAGCGACCTATTTCAACAAAAAGCTGGTCACCACCCAATGCGTCGGGATAGGAGACATTTCTGCAACATTCGGTTCTAGAGCAAGCCGTACGTCAATTTGCAGCATTTCCAACATCACAGCTTCGATCGCATCGCAGTCGCACGTCTGAGCTTCCACGGGATCGCTCAAGACTGCTCAACTGTCTCTTCAACAACGTACGACTTCGTAACGATCTCGAGACTCGAAGCTTTATGGTGAGCCAAAGGTGCGGACTTGCCTGTATTGCGTAACCAGAGCCCGACACCGGTTGGCCGTCCGCTTGGGTGTTGAAAGATCACACTCGCTTAGGTACTGCGGATCTTCTAAACTTTCATCCGCGTCATACCTCCCTTCGATCACCACGCGGTGCGTGCGAAGGTTCTGGTTAACAATTCAGATGATACTTCGCTAGATCTACCTATGATCACCGCAAGGCGTGCGAAGATAGGACGATCCATCCCAGGTATTCGGCATCGTAGGAGTGTACTCCGCTTCCCACGCTGAACACGGATAGCATAGCACGGATTACATGCTTCCGAGCGGCAGGCAGTTGATCAGGCAAGGGTCATGGCAGGGGCGCCCTTGACGATAGAGCAAATTCGAGACCTTCAAACTGCAGACCTCAAGTCATGTGCTTCCCTTCGACCCTGGCATGACGGGAGCTCCGAGATCTAGAGCACAACGTGGGCGCTGGAATTCTCCGGGGAAGAGTAAAAACAAACAGTGCGGGCGAGCTGCCACAGGGTAAAATAAGCTTCGGTCCGTTTCTTAGCGTGGCTTTATCCCCAGATTGAAGGGAAACACTCAGACCGCGCCAGGCGAAGCGATGCCGCTAGTACTATTTCGTGCCAACAGCCTCGAAAGGTTCAAGATACAGTCGCAACATCATAGGTCAGATTCCAGGGTTGTCAGGCTTCTCCGTTGATCATGGCCAGATAAAGCGTTCTAGATAGGCGTCTTTCCCCAGGATCAGATTGGGCTATGCCTGTCCAGGCCACAAGCAATGCCTCCAGGCTTACCAAGTCGAGCATTTTCAGGCTTACTTACTCATGGGGACTTGAAATCCGACATCGCCTAGAGGCTCTGCAGATATGCTTCCAGATCCAGCGAGAGCAGGGTCCCCTTCAGAGCTAGAGACTCATCGGAGGCTGGCTGAAGAATTCTTCATCGTCGTCCTACAACTCACGTTTTCCTGTTTATGGCCATGGACGAGCCTTTGTGGCTTGGAGTTCTAACTCGACGAGGAAGAAGAGGAGAAAGATGGCTGTCGAGATCGTGCAGCTAGAGTTCAGCTCCTCATTTTTGCACTGCAACATACCGATAGCGTCGCTTCCACCGACCTCAAGGTGCCTAAGGGACTGAGTTCTAGAGCGACGCGAGAGGGTGAGGAGAGAATGATCTTGTCATACAAGATGTATATAAGACGCTGTCGGACGGCGTCTTGTTGTTTTCACCAGAGCACATTCTGCAGCATCTCCTCTATCGACTGAGCCTCCAACACTTGTACACTTTCACCATGCGCTTCAACAACGTAGCTGGACTTGCCCTGGGGCTCGCCATTCCCGCTGGCGCCCTGTCTGTCCCTCGAAATGCAGCTCCTGAGCCTGCTGGCAAAATCGTTGCGCAGTTGTTCTGCGACATTGTCGGTGGTCTGGTCACTGTTGCAAAGCAACAGCCCCAAGCCACGAGCTTCTGTTCTTCTTACCTCAAGATCCCTGTAGTCACAAAGACTTCTACGGTGACTTCCTTCACTGCGTAAGCTGACACCACGTCCATCTCCACTGGCATGATCTTTCGCTTACAACACACAGTACCATTACGGCAACTGCAACGATCACTTCGGGATCGATCACGACCACCGATGCAACCAACACAATTACGACAACTGATACTGCCACCGCAACGGCGTCTGCCACGATCACCGAGACGACGACAACAACCGAAACCATCAACACTGTCGCATACTCTTCAATCACTGCATGCGCATCCCCAGGAGCTGTACAGAAGAGGGGCGCTTATGTTCCCCCGAAGAAGCCTTCATGCTTTAACAACTACATCGAAGGCCAAGCTCTATCTTCGGCATGCAAATGTCTTGCGGTGCCTACCTCTAGTACGACTACCACGACAACGTTGAGCCTTCCCACAACCATCACAACTTCAGTCACAGTAAGTCGCTAGCAACTCTACCAACCCACATAACTCGTTGCTAACCAACACCTCCCCCAACAGGTACCCCTGACCATCCTCGCAACCGCAACCAACACCGACACCGCGACCGTCACAAACACTATCACGAATACCGCGACTGAGACCTCCACAGTCACCGAGCGCACAACCATCATCACAGGCACCCAACAAGTCATCGCGATCCCCACCTTCACCGTCTACGCCATCGGCGGCGACAATAGCGGAAACCCCATCGCGGACGCCAGCCGCAACGTCCCCAACACCGTCGGCAACTCACGAGGCCTGAGCCCCGTCCTCCAGTTCACCACCGTCGACAACAACAAGCTTCAGGTCCTGAACGGGCCCTACGCCGGCTCCATCGGCAAGACCAACCCCAATGTAGGCGCGAGCGAAGCGTACGTTCTGTTTGGACGAAACGATGCTGGGCTGCAGGAAACGGTATGCCAGGTTACCTACAATGCTGCTGATGGGACGTGCCCGTTATCTTGTGTGGCTGCGAGGGGAACGACGAGTTATGATTGTGGTGTTTATTGGAGGATTGCTGGGGATGCTGATGTGGGTGGTTGCTATAAGTTTACTCCTTATGCTGTTGGTGGACCCTAGACGCTGGCTAAAGTAGCTTCTATATGACGATCGCAGTGGGAAAAGAAGGGGTACTGGTTTTATAGTAATAGTACTATTACATGATATACAAATCTACACACAAAACCTCTCTTCAACCGCCAAAGCGATTTTTAAGCGAAAGGACACTCCTCTGTTATACGACAGCGAAGCCAACAAGCGAGGTCAGGTAACAATCAAAGCCAAAGCTTACAACCGTCCCCCGTAGAGAAATCGAAAAAAACATACTAAAAGGCAGAACCAGCTGACACAAGTATATACAAAACGAACCCATCTTCACAAATACCCAGTCTCAAGACTAGATAGCAGTGCGCTGATTACGATGCGAGTAATCGCCACGCTTAGCAATGGCTCCATTTTCACACTTTGTGCCGTCAGCCACGGGGATCATGATGACCTTGCCGTGGTCGCAGAGACCGAACTTCGTGCCGTCGGACGAACAGACGACAGCGCCGTCGGGGGAGCAGGCTTCTTTGTCTGAACCTGAACCCGGGTTTGCGGGTGCGGGTGAGGCGGGTGCGCCGGATGGTGTTGGTCTTAGAGGCGCGACGGGTGATGCTGGGGACTGGCCGGTGGGTTGGGGCGCTGGAGCTGCGGCGGGGGCTGTGCCCGTACCGGCTGCTGGGTTGGGTGGGAAGATGCCGTCGGTGTTGGTCGGTGAAGCTGGCATTGGCGCCGTGACGGTCACGAGTGTGCGAAGGGTGGACTCGGCAGGCTTGGGCTTGGGTGAGCAGGCGGACTTGGTGCCAGATGGAGCCGCTGGGGGAGCGGGAGGGGGGCTTACTGGAGCTGGGCTCGCGGCAGATGGAGGCGTAGCAGCAGGCTGGTAGGCTCCTGAGTCCGGGGAAGGACTAGCAGCTGGAGAACCGGCTGCTGGAGGACTGGCGACTGGAGCACCAGGGTCGGCATTGCCGCTGCCACCACCAGCATCAGCACCGCCGGTGCTGGGTTGCGAAGTTGCGCCAGTGCAAAGATCCACGAAAGGACCTTTGCCAACAGACTTCACATACTTTCCTGGGTTCTGAAATGTGAAATCACTGCTTTCTTTTGTCGTACCGCAAGATTGCGGGACTGGTATGTTTGCGACTGCCATATCGGGGAGAGCATCGAATGCGGTTGTGTCGTCCGCACCGCCAGAGATTGTGACCGGCGCACAGTTCATGTACATCTCGCGGTTTCCAATCTTGTTGAACCACGTCCACGCTGTTGTCATGACGCCGTTGGGAAGCTCTGGGGGGATATCGAACTGGAAGGTATTGTCGAGGCTGGGACCGAATTCGTCCAGGTTGGCTTCTGCAGAGACAGGGCAGCCACCCTCAATGGAGTAGATGACTTTCCACACGGAGTCCTTTGTAGGCTCCTTGTCGGTGGTGACGCTTATTTGGCATGAGCCTCCACCATGGACGGCCGTACCCGTGAATGCAAGAGTCTGGGATGATCCAACCTTCCATTCGTTCATAGTGTTCACTGTGTATGGTACGGCCTTGCAGGGAAAGTCGGAACCGGAAGCGTCGAGAGGTGAATTGTTGGGATTGCCGTATGGCACGGGACTCTTGAGAATCATGTGTGCGTTTGCAGACAGCGTTGCCATGGCTAGTATGGCCGCAGCGGCGTAAAGGGTCGACTTGAAAGACATGATGTGTCCTAGACCAGCTGAGGGATGTATCGTGTAAGTCGAAATGTTGGTTCGGATGTCTGAAATCGAAATATGTCTTGTCAAAGACTTGTCGCAAGTAGTTCTTGGAAGAGTAAAATGAAGGTCTCGTAGAGTTGCGTAGTTGGTATGAATGTCGTGCTCGTATTTTGCGATGAGTTGTGTAGGAAGAATAACGAGAGTCTTTAGTAGGCGCGATGGTAAGGACCGTGGCGGCGTTGTAGAGTCATAACACAACAGCCTTAGTAATACGTAATGTACAATAGCTTCACAATGAGACAAAGCTCGCAGATTATATACTTGATGCTGGGAGGTGAAGGTGAGTATTCAACGTCTCCCGGCGAATTAGCGCGCGCCATCGTTGCGCCAGCGCTGTGACCGTGAGTTCTTGATGAGGACTGCCGATGCCTGAACAGGTACAAGAACCCGCGGAAGGCCCACCAAAGACATGTATTTCCTACCTTTCTTGTTTCACTAAGTGCACTTGATTGGGTGTCCAGTCATGATAAACCCTAGATCCGTAGAAATATAGCTGGGATGCACAGCGGCAAGAAATATCCTGGTGGAGACCGTTAAGCGCCACTAGTTACCCAGGCGGAAGGAAGGCATAACGCGTTTCAGATTTTCCAACTCTTGCCATCCATACTCCGCTCCCAGGAAGCGAGTCCAGAGCTCGTGTGACTGAAAGACTTGGGGCACGTGGGAATGGTGATCTGATGAATGTGGATGAATTGAGAGTGTTCATGGGTTGCAGGGCGCTGTGTTGCAACAGAACGTTCATAATGCACAGTGATTGGTACATCGATGGTGTGTTCTATCGCATCAAGGGTATTGTCGTGCATCGTGAAGTAAGCACCTGGGCAGGTGAGGTGGAGGGCAGACATTGGAAAGAGCCCCCAGACCTGAGAACCCTGGGACGCTTGCGGACTAGCGGGTCTTGGCAACGTTAGCTGGACCGCAACCGCGAAAGCATCCGTCACCAGCCAGGGACGCGCAAAAGCAGTCGCAATTCGAACGGACTTCCCTATCGGTCGCAGTGCAGGGGTAATCGCGAATCGACCAGCCTTCTGACGGACCCCGTGACCCATTCGCCGCATTCGGAGGCCCCATCGACATCGCGACGCGTTTAGTGTTCGCGAGCTCTGCTGAGCTTCCTCACATCTCCTACACGACCATCGACCGTGTCAACAGCCATGTTTACGAGTACGGGAAAGACGGCGCCGCCCCAGGCCTTCATGTCGAGTTATGCGCCGCGACTGCGAAGCCACGGAAACTCGCTGATATCGCCCATTGTTCCGCCTTCGAATACCCTCCCTGCGCCGCGCGTGACAAAACGCGGGACTGCCGTTCTCAGCTATGCGGAGGATGCATACGATGATGACGATTTCGAGGATAGCGATCGGCCGCGACGTGCGACAGGCCTGCGAAGCGTACAGAAGATCGACCCGAACAGCGCAGACCACACGGCGCAAATAGCAGCACTGGGCGAGGAGCTCACTGCGCCAGTCGATATACAGGGAATCTGGCGAGATTGGATGGGCAGGCCGAAGCGCACACTGTATGTGGCATGGTGGCAGGATTAAGCCATGGGACACATCTCGCAATAGAAGGCTAACACACTGCAGCACGGAGAAGCAAGTCCAGACGCAGTCAGTCTTGCCCGTCACGTTGATCCCGATCCGAATAGACATGGACATTCAGGCTTTCCGGCCTGAGGCGCCGCTGCCAACACCGTCCAACGCACGAGAGTTCGGCATCAACGAGAATTTGCCCGCGTACAAACAACCCGACGTCACTCCCGCATACAGACTCAAAGACTCGTTCCTTTGGAACCTGCACGAGGCTTTGACGACACCCGATCAATTCGCAAAGCAGTTCGTCGATGAACTAGATTTGCCAAACGACCGAAAGCCCCTCATAATCTCCCAAATCGCAAATCAGATTCGGCAGCAGTTGGAGGAATATGCTGGTGTTGCGCTACACCCTCTATTCCATTCCGCGAACTCGCCCGCTGTTCAAGGAACCAACGGCAAGACCGCATTGCCGGCATCGTCCCGTGACGGCACCTCCACACCACAAGTACCAGCCACGAACGGCGCGTCGACCCCTATGACCAACGGCGTATCGCATACCAACGGCGCACAGACGCCAGCGGGCATTCCAAATGGCATCAGCGCAACTGCGACCGCAATGCCGTCCGAGGAGCTTCACAACCCAGATGACACATACCGATGCATCGTCACGCTCAACATCAACCTCATGAACCGATTGTACACCGATAAATTCGAGTGGTCACTATTACATCCACCAGGTTTCGCGGAGATGTTTGCTAAGACGACGTGCGCGGATCTGGGGCTATCGGGAGAATGGGTGAACGCCATGACACATAGCATCTACGAAGCAGTCCTGCGACTTAAGAAGGAAGCCTGCGAGAATGGCGGTTTAGTGGGCGACGGCGAGATCGACAACGATGCAGTAGAGCCTACTATTGGTGCAGGTTGGAGATACGACCAAGAGCATCTCTGCGACGAATGGGAACCGAAGGTGGAAATCCTATCACCTGAAGAAATCGAGAAGCGCGAAGGCGACCGTGAGAGGCAGATCCGAAGACTACGCAGAGAGACAGCGCGCTTCTCCTCGACCGCAAACATGACGGGCCAACCCGCCAACGAATTCTTCAACAACATCGAAGGACAAGAGAACATGGGCCGCGGCGAGCGCAGCAAAAAGAAGAGACGATTCAGGAGTTTGAGCCCGGTTGGAAGAGGGACGCCAAGCGCCGAAGGAGGATCCGGCTATGGCGGGCAGGGTGGAGGGCTCCAAGAAGGGTATGTGACAATACTGGCATTGTGCATTGTGATATTGGAACTAACAACAACCACAGGGAGCGACAAACATGGAGATGCGCACACTGCTGGGTCTGGGGAACTGCCGTCTGGGCTGTTCGCGACGGTCCAAAAGGCCCACGCACTCTCTGCAACAACTGCGGCTACCTCTACGAACGAGACAAGAAGCTGCCGCCTTGGTCGGAAAACCTCTTCTATCACGAACGGCCACAACATGAAGTCCAACAGTACCGACCACAGCGGTGATGGACTTGCAGTTGTCTGTGAAGGGGTTTACTTCATCGGTGTTAGGGGTTCAGCCTGGATCGCAGTTATCCATCCGAACGGCATTCTTTTTCCGTTCCTGAACACTGCCGGTGGGTGTTTGATGTTCAATCGCATTTCATGGAGCGTGGCGTCTTGGGCTCGACATCGTGTTTATCACGACAGCAGGGCTTGTAAAACAACGTAACTTTCTTGTTCCTTCCGGATTTGCAGCATAGTGTTGCCTAATTGGCTGGGTTCAACTTCCGTCGTCTAGGCCCATTTGGAGGACTTTTGCCATTTTTGAAGGACCAGTGCCATGGACTGGGTTTGCACGCACCGGCACATGTCTGCCTTGCAGACACGGGTACGGGTACGGCAGCGGACTCTCCAACAAACTGGCTCTGGCTCAGCCATCGAAGATGCGGCACAGCCCGGCTTTTCCCTTTCCCAGTCACTCCATATCCCCTGCCTGTACACACACAAGAAATCGTACGATCGACAGAGGACAAGATAGTGTATACTTACTAGCTGGCAGTGCATATGCATTCCTATTGTTCCTTCCTCATTTCCTCTTGGCGCCTTATTGTGTGTTGCCTTGGCCACGCGTCCTTTTCGTATCGCATTCAGCCTATCATGACTCTTCTTGTCGATGTGGAGACTGGTATTGAGACTTTGCGCAGATGAGCGCCGGATTTGGGCACGTTGCGTGGCGCTGATGGCGGTGGAAGTGCGCGTGGGTGGCGTGTCAAAGCATCGTGGCTGCGTATTGAGAGGAATGCAGCGATGTGGCTTTCTTTTCGGAGGAGTTCGCAAGCCATAGTGTTAAGCTTTTGTACGAATACGACTTTGGAGATCAGATTTACAGGACTCTATTTTTGTTCAAGATGCAAAACTTGTCAGTTCTATTAGCAAGGAAGTTTGGCATCCCATTCGTATCACGAAACCGCGAAGGAACTTGTTCAAGTGTGGCACCACTCCAACCCCCATCCTATTGTCCCATCCCATCTTCCTATTGTGCACCCAAAGCGTCACCCACCGTCCACGTACTTAGTCATCCACCCATCTGCATCAACGATCATCATGACTCCTAGACATCCAACGCATGAGCCAACACACATGTCTCATTACACGTACATCAACGCTTCTCGTACCCTAGCTTCACCACCTCACGTGCTGAATGTACCCAGGTAGGTATCCATGGCTGGCGTGTTCAATAGAAACACAATAGCAAGCGAAATGGTGCAGGAGTGATGCACCACCCAACCAACGCGCAGATGGCTACCTGGGTACTTGATGAAGGAAGAAACGACCAGCATAAATTTTACCCGGTTTCGTACGACGGTGCACAGATGGTGCATTTGGGAACGTGACGATGGCTAGGGGAGTTGCAGAGAAGGAACGTGACGATGGATTCTTGTGTTACACAGGTAGGTGCCTGGCAGCCAATTAGGTACTTGATACAGGTATGCTGAAGTACCGAATCGTTGATCACGATCCCCATGTCTATTGTCATTCCAGCTACGGCAAGGCTGTACACTCGCGCTTAGCCACCTTGGGCATTCTCATATTCATCTCCGGCCACACACCTTGTACGTTCCCTCGCACACATTCGCTAACCCCAGACCATCAATCCCACCCACCTCGTCACAATAAATCCTCCCATCCTCTAAATGCGCGGCCTGTCATACCGCGCACCAGTCAACCAATCCTCACTTGACAAATCAAGACGACGTCTGAAAACAGACTAGCACCACCGTTTATTGAAGCACAATAGCAACAATGGATCCATCCCGGAAAAAGGCTCGGTACGCAAACTTGATTGCCGGTAACGGGTCTAGACTAGACTGCTGCCAGCTATTATGCAGAAGTCTGTGGCGCATACCAGGTATGTTTGTGTTTTCGCGCGTCCCTTCCTATTGTGCTAGGTATTGTGTTGGGTGTTTCAGGTGTGGGGGTGCAGGTGTGAATAAGGCGGAAGGCGGGCGGACGCGGGAGGATTGGGGCGTCCACTGCAGCGGGTGGGTGGGTATATATAGGTTAGGTGGTGGCATGCTTCGGGGATTGAGGTTTGTGAATGTGCGTGTATTTGAGGTTTAGATGTGAGTTGTTCTTGGAGTATTTAATGATGGATGGGTTTTGCTGACTTTGGATATAGTTATTGTGCGAACAACGAGAGGATACCAATAACGACTGGCAAACGGCATCAACGGCATCACTGCATCGTCATATCACGATCATATACCGGTTTATTGCATCTTCCTATCGATTTTCGTGGTCGCGCAACATCTACCGGCAAAGCCTTTAACCATCAACATTTGCCAGTACGGGTACCGAACTCGCATGACCGCCGCCTAACCCGTCACACCAACATCACGCCACAACCCCACGATCACGATACCCACAGAACAGTGTTCTCCAAGCCACGAGAAGTGATTCCTTGGCCAAAAGAAACATCCATTGATATATGCCATGGACCCATTCCGCAACAACGCCGCAGCAGTATCCATCGCAAAAGCCACCACACTCCACAACATCGCATCATCAACACTATCATCCACACCGTTCAACACACATCAAGCACACTCCTCAGCATACCAACCATACCAAGAAGACAATCCAGCACCCCCAGCCTACCACACCGTCGTAGACCCCACCCTCCCCATCCCCAACATGACAAACCCGTACGACCCCCAAGAAGAAGACTGCGACGCTCAAGAAACGCCAGACGACACACCCGAAATCACAATCAACGCTGCAACACAGATCCGGGGCCACGGGAACATCATCTCCATCGCACAGATGGATAGCGTGAGGATCGCGAATCTCGTTGCTACTGTGCTTAGTGGTGAGGCTATTGAGACGGGGAAGACGGGGGAGGAGGATGATGCGGCTGGCAGGCCGATTACACCAGAGAGTCCGACGACGGCACGGGGGGAGTGTACGTCTACGACGCAGGTCAATGGCGTGAAACGTTATTCCAACATCAACATCACGGTCAACTGCGGCGCGACTATCATCGGTGATAGAAATATCGTGGGACCGGGTTTGGGCGATATCGCGAGGCAGATGCAGATGGCGCAGAGGAATCAGGCGGCGTTGCTGGCTCAGCAACGGATGCAGCAGCAACAACAAGCTGCTGCTGCGGCGGCGGTGGGAGGTCAAGCACAGAGGATGCCGTCGCCACCGTTACAACAAAGAAATATCTCGACGAATGAAGTTGTGTTCCCGCTGAAGCCTGCGACGCCGCCGATGAGTCGCAGTTCTAGTTTGAATAGCGAGGTGGGAGTTGGAGTTGCAGGCAGGAAGAGGAAGTGTGAGGATGGTGGGGAGGGGGCTGCTGCGAAGAGGCGTGGTTGAGGCACGGATATCTAGGTGCTCTACAGATTATCCCTCCTCTTTCGTCTTTGACGTCGGGGATACGGTTTGGTCGAGCCTAGTCCTGGGGCTTCTGGGTTGGCAATCTTGGAGCCTGATGAATAACGAGTTATGAGTAGGAAGGCCTTCATGGCTTTGTAGGATAATGTTGGATATACACGATGGAGCTATAATAATGTCAACGTTCGAGTCATATCTGTTGGTCTCGTTCATTCCTCTGTGTTATTCCCGACTGAAGTCGAACTGCAAGGCGATACCAAGCCTTTCACATGCCACTCATGGATGCAGCCACAAGTGCATCGCTCCTGCGCTAAAGAGACGAGTGCGAGTACTAGATAAAGCAAGGGCGTGGCACAGAGAGTAGATGGAGCTGTGTGCGAGGGTGCAATATCAGCGAGATACCAATGACGCAGCGGCAGATGATGGATAGCGTGTGAGTGGCTTGTGAATGGCTTGGTGTTCAGCCGCCTAAAACGTTAGAGGCCGCCGTCGGGGGTGTCGGGACTCGGAGTTAGCCCTCCGCGCGCGAGGTGCTTGATGCTTCGTGTCCTTTACGAGGTGTTTGTGGGCGCGCAGGAAACTTTTGAGATGCGATGGCAAGACAGGCGTGTGAGATGCGGCATAGAACAACAAGAAGAAGATTAATAGAAGTCACTCGGCGTATATCAGAAATATCATCATCTTGCTGTGACGCACTCACCCGCTGCAGCGCCTCCGTCGACCCCTGCCTAGTGGCATCCCGAACGGGGGAGCACTCCTAAGCTCACTACCACATGGAGCGCCTTCACTCTGCCACCTCCAGCAATTCCCCGTCTCCCGCCCTACATTGTTAGCCTCGACGCCGAGTCGATGTGAATGTGTAGCACGTGAATCAACACAACCCCCAAACTGCGCCGCCCGTGTCAAGTGGGCGATTCGGCGGTTGCACTCGACGGTTGAGTAGCTCCCGAAGCGGATCAAGACCTACCTGGCCTCTTCTCGCAACGCCATCGAAACCGTTGAGCAGAGCAGCCGGTGCGACGCGTCAATTTCACACGTTACGACGCCCGGGCTAAGACAAAATCAATTACCTGTAAGCCCCTTTTCCTGTCCCTATACTCCGTCATCCTACTGCCCTGGCCCTCTGCTCCCTTACCCACCTGCCACTTCCACCCCAACCCATTGCCCCATCGTACCGTGTTGACATTGGACGTCGTACGGTAGTCACCACCGCACCCTCGAAGCGTTGCATACCACACGTCTTGCATCATGGAGCCGTGGATGAGCTGGGTCGTGTTCCTGGCCATTGGAGGCGCCGCCTACTGGTACTACATGCACCAGGGCAACACGGCGGATACCCGAGGACGCTCGACCACGGGCAAGTCGACGACCAGCTCGCTCAAGGAGGCAGTCAGCTGGGACACGCCAGAGAAGAAGCCCAAGGCACAGAAGGCTGCAAAGCCCAAGGCCCCTCGCAAGTCGGTCAAGACGGCCGTCCAGGATGCCGGCAACAAGGCCGCCGCGACCATCTCGCAAGCCGCCCCTAAGCAGGCTGCCGACGACAGCGCCGTCGAGCCCCCCGCCGCCTACACCAACAAGGCCCCAAGCGGCAAGGACGTCTCCGACATGCTCGGTGAGCGCGCCGCCTCGCCCGCTGTCATGAGCATCAAGCCCTCCGAGAAGCCAGCCAAGTCGGTCAAGGCTCAGACACAAAAGGCCGAGGTCGCGACCGAGTCCAAGAAGCAGCGCCAGAACAGGAAGAAGGTCGAGGAGGCCAAGGCCGCGCGCGAGGAAGAGGAGAAGGCGCGCAAGGCTCTCGAGGAGAAGCAGCGTCGTGTCGCTCGTGAGGCCCGCGGTGAGCCGGCCAAGAACGGTCTCGGACAGAGCAAGCCCCCCGCCTCCAACCCCTGGACCGAGGTGCCCTCTCGTGGCGCTGTCCAGCCTCCCAAGGCCGCTTCGTCTGGTCAGCTTCTCGACACCTTCGAGGCTCCTGCTCAAACCGCTACCAAGACTGTCGCCCCTACCAACGGCGCTGCTAAGACCGCTGCCCCTGTCAGCACCCTGCCCTCGGAGGAAGAGCAGATGAGGCTTGCCATGGAGGACTCTGCCTGGACCACCGTCCCCAAGGGCGGAAAGCCCAAGCGCAAGACCGTCAACGAGGAGCTTGCTGAGGAGCTCAGCGAAGTCACCACCGCCACAAAGCCCCAACAGTCCGCCAAGCCAGTTCGGCCGACTGAAGTCATCAAGGAGAACAAGAACCCCAGCTCTCGCTACCAGATCCTTGCCGAAGAGTTCAACCCCAAGACTGGCGACGATGCCGATGACTGGGCTGTCATGTGAAGTGGGCGAACATGACTCAGCCAGCAGCTGGTCTCAGGACCTCGGGTACATTCATGTACCCTGGACGACGATACACCTTTCGATTTCTATCATATTGATGACTGTTGGCGCACGTGAGATCTTCAGGCGTTGATCTGACCACTTCCAACCTTCATCACGATAGCATCATATTTGGCATGACGGACGGGCATAGCTCATACGACGGTGGAATTGTCCTTGTAAGCATGGGTATGGCTGGATCATCGGATGGGTTCCTTCCACTGCTTTGCTATCCAGGCCATGGAAGCATCGGCGTATGGGGTTGCATCTGATCTTATTGCAAAGGCTTCTTGCATTCGCGTCCTGTACTTCAATACCACATTTAAACATCAACGCTGGAATAATGACTGTTGAGGCGCGCAGGTAGAAAAAGTAGTTGTTGAATTGCAGCTCCTCATACAAAACCTCCCACACATGAGTCTGCAGTACAGCCGTGCGTTGGTGAAAGCTATAAATACAACCGTGCTCCACCGTGTTGAAAGTGCCCGTGCCAAGTCGTGAATCAGCTAGTCAAGATTGGTCCGGAGGTATTTCGTACCGACTGCTACTCCTGACGCCATAGTCAGAGTCGAGTAGCAGAAATCTGGCCTCTTAGTAGTACTCTAGTAGGTTGCGCGAACCGAGGAACCAGCGCCGCAGCAACCCTGGGAACAGCCCACACGACGCAATTCAATATATTCACCATCACGCGCAACTGCCAGCTAGCAATCCCACCCTGCAATTTACTAGCCTGCAACAGAAGAAAGTAGTGAGACTCAACACATCAAAGTAAGGCGCAAAGGGTTAGGCCGCTGACATAATCTGACGTTCCGAAGGTCAATCGCGTGAAGGACACCTGTTCGGAGCAGCGCAACCCAATCACCTCTACACCTGCCGCCGCCCACCCTCTCTTCTTCTCTACTACACCACCAGCCATGGCGCAGATACGCGGCACCGCTGGCTACCATTTGGGCAACCAGAGCCCCTTTGGCAACTCGGGGCGCAACGACAACAGCACGAATGACCCCAGCCCGCTCGACCAACTGCGCGCCCAGACGAGCAAGCTCGAGGACCTGCTGGACACTGTCTTCGACCCCATTAAGCCGTGAGTCCAGAAACGGTGCCACGACGCCGCCCGCCTGGAAACCGGCTAACTCGCCCGTAGATACCTCCCTGGCATCGGCCGCTTCCTCATCGTCGTTACGTTCCTCGAAGATGCCCTGCGCATTATCACACAATGGACCGACCAGCTCACGTACCTGCACGACTACCGCCACAGTACGTGTTCACTACCCCTCCCGCAGCAGCGCGTGAACATTGGCTAACACGGTCTCTCTCTGTCTGTAGTCTGGAACGGCGTCACGCACATGTTCCTCATCGTCAACATTGTCCTCATGACCGTCTGCTCCTTCGGCGTCATTTTCCGAAAGTACTCCGAATACAGCGTAGCGGGACTCATGACGGTCGTGGTGCTCCAGGGCATCGGCTACGGCCTCGTCTTCGACCTCAACTTCTTCCTGCGCAACCTGTCCGTCATGGGCGGTCTGCTCATGGTGCTCTCCGACTCGTGGGTGCGCAAGAAGTTTGCGCCCGCCGGCCTTCCCCAGCTCGACGAAAAGGACAAGAAGATGTACTTCCAGCTCGCCGGACGCGTCCTGCTCATCTTCTTGTTCGTTGGATTCGTGTTCCGCGGCGACTGGGGCTTCTGGAGAATCATTGCTAGTCTTTTGGGACTCGTGGCTTGCGTCATGGTGGTTGTGGGCTTCAAGGCAAAGTTCTCGGCTGTTATGCTCGTGCTTATTCTCAGCGTCTTCAACCTTTACGTTAACAATTGGTGGAAACTGCACCCGCATCACCCCCACAAGGACTTTGCCAAGTACGACTTCTTCCAAATTCTGTCCATTGTGTAAGTACCCTATATTCGCTTTCGACAAGCGCATTGCTGATATCTGTCCAGTGGCGGTCTCCTCTTGCTGGTCAACATGGGCCCCGGCCAATTTTCCGTCGACGAGAAGAAGAAGGTCTACTAGACTCGGTCATGTTCACGCATCACGACACGTGTTTCGGCTTTTTTGAACGAAACGGTCGCCTTATATTCGATATATAAACGCATATATGATATTCAATTGGGAAAAAACGAACGTGGTGGGGAAAAGCGAGAGATGATGGCGGTTTGGACGAATCCCACTTTCAAGACCAGACCAGAACGGACAAGACAGCAATTGGGCGTTAGGCAAAGAATGGATGTTGGGATCCAAAAACCGGGCTAGGTTTTGTGTACCCGCCTCAGGGAAGTTCTTCTCCTGTGCCAGGCATCTGGGAGTGGCAAACGTTGTGTAGAATTATGGAACGAATCCGGCGTTTGTTTCTTTACTTGCGAGTGATATGATGGCGATTTGGGCTTATGAATCGCACGTTCTAAAGGGGAAGATGCGTTTTTTGTTCTTCTTTTACGTATATGGCAAATGCATATTCCCCCAATTTCACTTTGCCTTTTCTCATGCCCTTTTCCATGTAAATATGACACGGGATCCTTTCGGACCCACAAAGTCAATTGAAAGTGGAGTCAGTGTCGGTATCGGTGACCTCCGCGTTTGGCGGCTGCGGCATGCCACACACCTGCCATGCGCGGTTTGGTGTATGTAGGTAGGTGGGTAGGAGTGGTAGGGTACATGGGACATTCTAGGCGCGAGGCGCGCCACTAGTTAGATAATCGTACATGTATCCATACTTACGTACCTTGGTTGATTCGCAGAACAGCCAAACCAACAAACAACCATTCTACACACAACACTTCTTCCACATTCCTAGCTTTTCGACAGATATACAGATAAGATGGCACCGAATAAGATTATCATCGATACGGACCCTGTGAGTTTTTATTCTTGGTTATGGATGTGGGATGTGCGGGGTAGGAAAGGCGGTGGGGGAGTACCTAGGGCTGGAAGGGGCGACACCGAGACTCGGTGGAAAAAAAAGGTAAAGAGGCATTGAGAATTTGGGGCTGACATGCGTATAATGATAGGGCGTCGATGATATCCTGGCTATGCTCCTGGCGTTCTCGGCTAAGAGCGAGGAGTTGGATATTCTCATGTTGAGTTTGACGTTTGGGAATGTCGAGGTTAAGAAGTATGTTTACAACATCCTCTTCGATTTGTTTCACATGCGTGGAACTCATGCGCTGGATGAGATCCAAGGTTGATAGAGGGGTGACGAATTGACTGACAAATTTCTAGTTGTCTACGCAATGTGGTCACGCTGTTCCATTATATTGAGAAAGAGAGAGCGTGGAGGAAGGAGAATGGCAGGCCTGAGGGGTTTGAAACGTTGGGTGCGAGGAAACCTATTGGTGAGTCTTTGATCGCAGGTGATGATGGAAAAAGAGAATGTGTGCTAACATGAGCGATAGTTGCTGTTGGTGCCGAGGAGCCATTGGCGGAACATATGATGGTCGCGGACTTCTTCCGTAAGTCGGCGGCTCCTGAGATAGATTGGATGGGAAGAGCGAATAGCTGACGTGGCATAGATGGGATTGATGGGTTGGGAGGTATACATCACAGTGTAAGCTCTTTGTCTTCCAACACGATATAGAGAGCTGGGAACTGACCTGATCCAGCACCCACATCTCTCACCAGAAGAGACGTGGAAGTCACTCTTCACACCTCAGCCGAAGAACATGCCGGCTGAAGAAACCAAGGCGCTGCAAAAAGTCAAGGAGAAACACTCGCTCTTCACGCCATCGCTGAAGCCCGCACACGAAGTCATGCTCGACTTGCTGAGGGAGAATGAGCCTGATACGGTTACTATCGTGGCAGTCGGACCTCTGACCAATCTTGCTATCGCTGCTGCGCAAGATCCCGAGACGTTCTTGAAGGTCAAGGAGGTAGTCGTAATGGGCGGTGCCATCGATGCGCCTGGAAACGTAAGTTCTGATCTTTCCCAGTTTACAATCTCACCCTTCGTCGCATCCTTTCCAGCTCTACGCAGCTCTGGAAAGCCACCCACAGCGTCGTCCACCCCCACCCCTCCACCTAATATACCACCCACATACCCTCTCCATCCCCGTCCCCCCTTCAACCTAATCAAACAACCCAACACCCCCCTCCGCCACTCACTAAATCTCCGAAACCAGATGACCCCCGGCGCCGAATTCAACACCTACGCCGACTCCGTAGCCAGCGCGCGCGTCTTCGCCCTCACATCCGCAAACCCGCACCTCACCATGCCCCCCATGCTCTCAAACCCCCAGAAGAAGCACCAACTACCGGCGTACCCAAAAACACTCAGCAAGCGCCTAACCATCAAACTCTTCCCGCTCGACACAACAGAACTACACGTCCTGCCCAAAACCATGTACGAAGACTACATCGCCCTAAAACCCATCAAAGGCTCCCCCCTCTCCGAATGGACCAGCCTATTCCTCACATCCACATTCGCAAAAAACTCATCCCTGAACCCTCAACAAGATCCCACGAAATCCGGACTCCAACTCCACGACCCGCTGACGATCTGGTACGCTCTATGCCCCTCCAACCCGCTATGGAAGTTCAAAGAGGAGGATGTGAGGGTCGAGACGAGTGGGCAGTGGACGAGGGGGTGCACGATTGTGGATCGGAGGGGGAGGCCGGTTACGGAGGGGGAGAGCAGTTTGGACGAGGAGGTTGTGGGGGATGCGGGGGGGTGGAGGGATAGTAGGAGGGGGAATCGGGTTGGGTGGTGTACGAGGAGTCCGGGGGAGGGCAAGTTTGCGAGGGTGCTGCTGCATAGGGTTTTGGGGGATGGGGAGCAGTGGTAGGGTGGAGTGGGAGTGGGTGTGTGGGGTTGAGTGGGTGGTTGCTATTTACTAAGAGGGTGGGTGTGCGTTAGAGTGTTGTGGATAGAGGAGCTGAGTGATCAGTCGTACTTGCTGCGCCACATACTTTAGATTTGTATCCACTGGACTTGGCACAAGCGTTCTTCTACCTGCACCATTGAAGTGCCAGCAAAGTCAGTGGATGTGTGTGCTGAAGAGATTTGCGCCTATGCCTATTTTAAACCTATCAAGCTTGCTACCCATCCGTCAACCTATTCGCCATCCTACCCGCCATCACCCATCCATCCACCCGTACCCTCCTTACACAACGCCTCATCAGGCTAGATAGACAGCGAGAACACCGACAGGTGTACAACATCTGTCGCAGCTGGGATGACCCGGTACTATGGATATTCTCCGAAGGGAAGAGGGGGGTTTGTGTAAGCTCTTGTGTCGCCGTGATACGAAAACGGCGGCCATTCCGAGTGGTTCGCTTGAGGGTAGTTTGTGTCAGATATTTCTGGGGAGAGCGAGGAACTGGGAGGACACGAAGCGGTGGGCTGTTTTTTGGGGGGTGGTACGGGGGTGGTTGGGCGGCGGTACACGCGTGTTTCTTGGTGTTGGGATTGGTGGTATGAGGGATTTTGGGGAAAGTAGGGGCTGGGTCAGTAGTCCTTTAAACAGAATACAGTGGAGGACTGCTAGGAGCATGTTCGTAAGTCTTTTTCGAACAACACATCTTCCTCGACTAACCCTCCAACCATCCAAATATCTCTCTTCCTTAACCTAACCCATTACCCCCGTAAAACCCAGTCTAAATACCACGCCATCCCCCTCTCCTCATCTCCGTTCCCTCTACCCCCTTCTGCCGTGCACCCATGCAATCCGGCTCCACCTACTCCATCGGCAATCACAAGTGGGAAGCTAATTTCCGCCACCGGCACTTTCTCCGCTTCGTGCCATGTCGTACGGAGACGTTGTCGCGTTGCGTCATCTGCGTTGTGCGAAAAGGAAGGAGGAAGGAGGAAGGAGGATGGAGCTAGCTGGGGCTGAGGGGTTTGGGGGCGGTAAGGCAGGCAAAGTGGGAATCGGGAACTGGGGTCTACATGATGTGAGACGGATCTATACAGGTTTGCAGAATACATGGGGTTGGAAACGGAAGTTTGGTTGAACATGGAAGTAATTCAGACTTCTAGGTCAATAACTTTCAGCGGGTATCTGGGTTCTTTTCTTTGAACAAACTGAGACGGTGTGTATTATTTGGCCAGGCTACATGTCCGGGTGAGTGGGATAGGGAATGGGAGGAGGGCGGGTTCACCGCTGGTCTAGTGCTACCCAGGGAGCTGAAGGATCGTGATCAGCCCACCGCACCCCATATAAGCAGAATTCTGAAGGACGTCAACGTAGGCTGTAGGGTGTTCCGTTGTTATTCCTTGGACGTGATGACTGTAGAGATCCAATCAGACCCAAGAGGCTACAATAATCACTCAATTTCCGTATATTCGAGAGAGAAATGATGCCATTGTAGTCGCCTCACGTCTGTCCTATAGCTCCAAACACCGCAATGCAACCGTCTTCACATATTCCATAAAGGCCGAGTCCAGAGGACGAAGATAGATTAAAGCCAGACCTCTGTATACTAGGTCTGCTATAGTCGAAGAGAAAGAGAACAGGATACGATCGAGGGTATATCTTGTGTGAATGCCTGCCGCAAAGGAAAGAGAGATACATGCTTAGGTGCCACCAGCTCCGTACGCGGTAGATGCAACTGCGATGAAGGGAGAATCATGAAAACGTGCATTTGGGGGGATGAGAAAGGTTTGTTCTGGCCCCTGGGAATATAATTCATAAACGAACGCAAATGCCAGCAAATGGCAAAAGGGGATGAGAAACGCCACCGCTGAGATGATGATGCAAAAGATAAACGCGGACTTTCCAATTCTTACTAATGTGGCCCGAAGGCTACGGCAACTTTATTTGATTCTCAGGTTGCCCCTATGCCCGCATGTCGTCATTGAGGGAAGCCACCCTGTTGTTGTTGTTGTTGTTGGTGACTTGAAGGCATTCGCGAGGCAGTCCACGAGAACATGGCCATGTCGCAGATACGCGCAAGAACTTGTTGGCTAGATGCACGGCTCTCATGACTGATGAACGACATAGCGACACAAAGCTTATTCAGGTCGCTGTCTGGACTTTGGTCGACCTGCGGTGGTAGAGCGTTGGGGAAACCGCCAATGCGGCTACCGTAATGACGAGCGATCGCAATGGAGTAGATGGCATCGCGCACCTCGTGCATGCACAGGACGCCGCGTAGTACGGAAAGTGCGCCGTCGGCTGCTCCGGGCGGGGCATTGTCTGAGCCTGAGAATTGGACGAAGTCTCCGAGATGTTGCCAGAAGTCGACTTGCGACCTCTTGACATCATCAAGCGCAGGGGGATATGCCAATTGACGTGTGGGATTCGAGTCCAGATTTTGGTTCGTCATAAGAGCTTCCAGCACGTCGAGGCGCGCACGGGTTTCTCTCATCGCAAAGTCTTCGCCTTCTGGCTGTGCTCCGTTGGTGCTTGGAAGGTTCTGCTTGCACGTACTCAACAAGTGCCATAATAAGCGAGCCTCTTGACTAAAGACGCCGGTCATGTCGGTATCGGCGGTAGCCTTGTACTTGATGGTCTCGGTGAAGAAAGCGGCCTCTTCATGTAGGGAGCGGTCGCTGAAGACTCTGTTGAGAGCATTGTTGTTCGTGGAGAACCAGTTGGTCTCAAGTACGAGGTCGAGCCCTTGGCAGTAATCGTTGATGAAGATGCGAGAGAACTCGTCGTCGATTTCACGGGGCACTGGCGAGGTCCGCTGAGGAACCTCGGGCGGGCTGTGGTTGCAGATGCCAAAGATGTCTTGGATATTCAACCGCTTGCCTGAATCTGCGTTAGGACTGTGATGGCGATATGGAGCAGGATACCAACCTTTCATGGGCTCTGGCGGAGGCGGGTGGTAGCTGGCGCCTGGAGGCCCTCTCATGTTGGGATCCATGGGGTGCACGCCGTTGTAGTGTTGGGGTGGCTGTAAATTGGGATCGGCTTGCGCAAGTGCCGGGTCTATGGCGTGGAAGTTGCCTTGCTGGTGTTCGCCGCTCGTAGCAGGAGCGGCAGTCGCGTACCCCGCGGACGAGGCAGGCGCGTACCCTTGGGGTACCGGACTTTGGCTGTAGTTGGAGGAGGAAGGTGCGGGCGCCGGTGCGCTTGTCGCGTGGGGTGCGGGCGCGGAGTTGGGAGCAGGTTGTATTTGGGCGGGACCGGATTGCTGCTTGAAAATCGGGTCGTAACCCAAGCACTCTCGTTTGCTCTTCTGGCAGTTCCGGCACATGGGGTGGGCTTCGTCGCACTGTCGGGGTGGTGGTTAGCGCATGAGCAGGTGAGTAGTGATGTTGGTGCGCGATGCAGAAAATTTGCCAGAAATCGGCGCAGCTGTATTTGCAGCCCGCAACGGCGATGTTGCGAGGCAAAGTGCTGCAGCCCACTGAATAGCAGTGTTGCTGCACAGCCGGTCGCTTCTGACACGCGAGAGGTTGGATTAGAGGAGTTTGGGTTCCTCGCTCGGTTAAGCAAGCGACAAACAATAGCTCCTCTGACATCGCGTCGCGTCTGCACCGCGTTCCATTGACGTATGCACTCACCTTTATTCTCCGTTTGCGACATGTCAGACAGCCAGTCTTGGTGCGACGCTTGATCTCCTTCTTGTGGCGACCACCAGACAGCACTCTCTGGTCGCCCTGCGGCGGCAGCTGGTATCGCATGGCATTGAATTGCGGGCCCATGTTGCCCATCATGGGCGGGCCTTGCTGCGCATGCGCTGGGTGCGGATAGTACTGCGGCATACCGTGCTGCGGCGGTGGGAGCGGAGAGCCCATGGGCTGGGGCGGCTGCTGAGGTTGCGCCTGGGGCTGCTGGCCGTCCTGCAGACGTATTGGCGGCAGATTGAGGGGCGGCAGCGACATGTTGGAGCCCTGGGGAGAGCTGCGGTAGCCATCGTTGCTCTGCTGGCCTTGGGGCGGCGGGTAGGTATACGTGGGCTGCATCGAGGGCGACGGGTACGAGTGCGGTGAGGGATAGGCGACGGCCTGCTGCTGGCGCGACTGCATGTTAGGATCGGCCATGCTCTGGTGGGAAAAGTGCGAAGGGGCCGGCGAGTAGGGCGCCTGGGAGATGTGGGTGGAAAAGTCGTGCGACATGGGCTAGCAATGGAGTCTGCCACCGGGGCGCTCTTCAGTTCTTGGGGATGTCTTGAAGAGCACGGCGGCGCTAGAAAGCTTGAGGCGGATGGGAAGAGGGACGGCAAGCCTGGCAAGGAACTGGGATTAGCTGAGTTGGCGAAGGCGTTATGACCCGCGGAACAGGGGCCTGGCCTCGCTCGGTTCGACGCCGCCGCGCTGCACGTAGTTGTGCGTGCACTACATAGATTGGGATAACAAATACGTGAACGACGCAAAGACTAACAAAGTCCAGGGAATGAAAGTGAGAAGGGCTAAATGATGATAGATGGGGAAGGATGAGGAAGATGAGGGAGATGAAGACCTGGCATGCCAGCTGCCGCTCCCAGAAATGCATCGCGCGCGATATCCCTCACTCATCTCGTCCGTCTAGGAGGCAGCGAGTGGACTCAGTGGAGGGTGGGCTGCAGCTGGCTAGCCGCCTTTAGCAGGTAATGAGGGCGCATGTGGCAGTGCCATGAAGGAATCAACCGACTTTACTTACAAGCTGCCTACAAGCGAGTCTCGCTTGAGCGGAAGGTAGCGAACAGGGTACTGCTGTCCGACGGGCTAGCGACGCGCGACGATGAGCTGGCCGAGGAGAGCGGCGGCAGAGGAACTTCTAGCGACGAGAGGGCGGCAGGCCGATGCAGCCAGAGCAATCGGGCATTTCTTCAGCAAAAGGCTAAAGGCGCAGACCGCTCCCCAGCGCAAAAAGAACTTCAGCATGCCAGGGCCGCTAGCCTGCATCGGGCCAATCACGTGCCGCTCTGCGCTGCGCACTGGGGCCCGCCACACTGTTCTTCCTGCAATCAGCGTCGTCCCGTCCGCTGCTGCACCTCTCTATTGCCCATTACCCAAGTACCTTACTGAGCCGAGCCTCGTGCGGCGTGCAGCGACATTCCACCCGCTTAGACACACCATGCAGCCGCCCATACCACCCACACTGCACCGTTTGCGTTGCTCAATCCTCATCCGACGGACTGGCAGAATTTGATTAAGGCTGATTGCGCAGTACCTGGGTCCCGGTCCAGCCGGCGCGAGCGGCATCTCTTCGAGAACACCTCCCTCTTGCACCCTCTGCACCCTCACTGCTCGCTTAGCTATCGGTGGCTTGCTCCTGCATCGTCACGACGAACCATTCTGTGCCTGCTTGCACATCTCTGATGCCGCGTATTCTTAGCCTGCCCTTATTTCACTGCCCATTTCACTGCGCAATGGCCCCGCAGCGTCCTCGCCATGACCCTTTGCTCCCACTGCGGGTGACGTATGTAGCTCCCGATGTGACAATCGTGCAATGGTGCGCTGTCCAACGATCAAGCACACGAGCATTCGATCTCCAGACTGCGTCTTACGGGCCGGTTTCCCTTCCAGGGTGGCCAGCGGCGCGCCTCGTCCTATCTAAAGCGCGCGCTGACATCAACTTCCGCCTGTCCAATTCAATCTCCCTGCCTATTTACCCGCAATGGGCATATCGCAAGGGCGGCTTCCAATGCCAGCCACAACGCCGTATCTGAAGACATCTGGCGGAATCCTCCATGGGTTATCTGCGGGTAAATAAACGCATATCGGGTTAAGCCATTGCCTGCTACAGCTGAGTGTGACCAACCTGTAGGAGGTGCATCACCGGCAAGACTTGTCCTTCCGTCTGGGTAGCACTAGGAGGCCGCCAACACGTGTCGAGATATCTACTGGACACCTCACCATTGTCGCCGAACAACCTTCGCGCCAAACAAGTTGGTTGGACTTTGCGATGCGACATGCGATGCGACAGGCGATACTGCATTGCGAATCCCTTGTCCAATGTTGCACAAGCAAAGACCCTGGTCCTAGGGCTGACAAGGTGCATCTAACAGGCCGCTACCAGTGCGCGCGCAGGGAAGTCTGCACTCGGTGCGACCAAGAACACAGCGCCAGAGAAGCCTGTGGAACACTGCTAATTGTCGTTCGTTCGCAGAGTGTCTTTCGCGGGCGCCCGCTGAGACATGGTAAGATCTCGTCTATCGCAGTGCACAGAAAAGCCAGGTCAGGGATACCCCCGCACACGAAAGCATCGAACGCTTCTCGAACAAAGTTGAACGCCAACCGAGCGAGCTTTGCGCATCATCCTTCCGCCCCGCTCTCGCCTACAGACCGCCTGAAGCGACAGGTGTCTTGATCATCGCTGCAATACGAGATGCATCGGGCTTTGCAAGGGATGGCTTTTTCCTTGCTCAGTAGGATCTTGCACAATAACATTTTCGATTGTTATGCCTGATCTCACAACAATGGCTGAGTCGTGCGGTGGCCACTTCTTACCCAAAGCTGCAGACCCTGAATAAGTTCACGCCATTGAGTTCACACTAAGTATTGCTGTCGCGAACCGACTCGGCTTTACCCTGGAGTATCCTAGAATCATGAGTAGGGATAGTCAGCAGCACAGACGTCGGCCAAGCGATATCCACGGTGTAGGAATCGGCGCGTTGCTCGTTCATTCCACAATGATGGTCGCGCACTCTGACCACCTCGACAGCAACTCCAAATTGTGTCAACCTGAGTCATCTCGAACACCGATATCTTCCGTGGCTCAAGGACACTGGGAAATTCCAATACTCTTGCGGTTCATCAATATCGTTGTGACCTGCCAGTACTACACGTGTGCAAGAACCAGGCATCAGCTTTTCTGAGTGACTGGAAGCCACATTGTAAGTGTGGCGATTTCACACGCGGCGACGATATGATGTGCAACCACAGTTTGAACACGCAAAGGAAAACCATGGTTTGTGGTGCATCCAAAGAGTCATGGAATTAAGGGTCTGCATGCATGCGAGGGCGCTGAGAGGCAGGCTTAGCGTATGGAAAGGGCTGATGCTATCATCGCAAGAGTTGGGAACCAAGGTAGGTGAACACAAACTACTGTGTCTACTTCGACTCGTAGGCATCTCGCAAGTTCTGACCGGCACGTTTCTCTCCAATATGAAGTTGTTGATTCGCCCTTTTTTCGTGGTACTTTGGTTGTCGTGGCCTCCACCTTCAGGCTGCCATTTCGGTACCGTGGGACGCGCCTCAGCTGAATTATACAAAATGAGGGGACACACCCTCTATCTTCTACTTTTTCGTATCCTCGTCGGTCTTCATCTTGTGCACACTGCCTACCGCTTTCTCCAACCGGCACTTCACCACAACTCATCCCATCTAACCTCAGCACATACCAACGGTCAAGATGTCCACAACACTAGACCAACAAAAAGAGGCCGCCTACACCCTGCTCTCTGGTATGCTCACAAGCGTCCTACAAAAAGAGTGGAAAATAACAAACCGCCATTCGGCACAGTCGTCCGCCCTCCTCGACATACTACTCCTCCCCAAACCAGCCCCAATCCCAACCCTAACTCCCATCGCCCCCACCCCCATTAAGCTTCAGAAACAAAGCATCTTCCGCCTAGGCAACCGCACATTCGACCTCGGCCCCGAACACGACTCCTCCGCCAGTTCCTCCGACGATGATAATGATGTTGCTCCGATCCGGAATGCGCGTCAGCTTAAGAGCGAGATGCGCAGAGTTGATGCAATTCAGAGAAGGGCGAAAAGGAGGGCAGAGAGGGGGAGGAGGAGGATTGAGATGCATCTTGGGAAGGTGGAGGGGGTGGTGGAGTTCGAGACTTTGCAGACTACGAAGAGTGGTGCGGAGACACCGGTGAGGATGGTGAAGGAGCTGGAGGACTACAATAGTCCCGCGCGTAGCAGTCCGCTCAGCTCTGCGCCCATGTCGCCTCGAAGCGCTTCGTTCAGCCCGGTGTCCAGCGAGCCCAACCAGGAGGTTGCCGAATACGACGGTGTCGACAGCCCTATGTCTGAGCCTGTACAGGTACCCGGGCGACTACAAGGGTATTCTTGTAAACCCTGCGACTTCACAACACGCTATGTCTCCAGCTGGACACGGCATTTCCAAGGCCAACCGCACCTGAATCAGGTAGCGAGGAGCCGACCACGCAAGGAGCCAACCATGAAAATGGTCAAGAAGGCAGTCGACAAGAGACCGCAGCGCTACTGCAGCGACTGCGACCGCACGTATTTGATGTCCAGCTGGGGCTGCCATATAAGAGGCCGTATGCATCTGGACAATGTTGTGAGGGATAAGCGAGCCCCTCCGGTACAAGGCAAAAAGACCAGCCAGCAGTATGCGCGCGGACTGGAGAAGTTTTGCGAGGTTTGCGATTATAGGACTAGCACCTATAGTCATTGGATTCGGCACTTGAAGTGTCAGAAGCATTTGGCAAACATGGCCAAGGCCAAGGATGATGCGGAGGACATCCACCTTCATGCGCCGACACCAGAGTCTGTGCTGCTGTCCGTGGAAGAGGAAGAGCAGAAAGAAGAAGAAGAGGAAGAGTATGAAGATGACGGCTTCGGCGAAGAAGGATACGAATATGGTCACTATTGCGATGACTGCGAGGTCACGTTCGCTGGTGCGAACTGGGCGCGGCATTTGACTTCGGCAGGCCACGTGTTTAATGTCATTAAAAACTCTCCCGGGGATGAGGATATGACGTCCGATGATGAAGAGGAGGACGAAGAGGAGGAGGAGGAAAGCATGGCAGACTACGATTCTGCCACTGATGGGGAGAGCATTATCTACGATGATGCCACGGATGAGGATTCTGCGTCGCCCTCGCCCTCGCCATCATCTTCACCCTCGGCGGAGGAAGACGAGGCCGTATTCAATGAGGGAATCACATTCTCCCACGACGGCACACCGGTTGCCGACCTCGCCTCGCCCCCTTCCCTCACATCTTCGCCCACCTCTCCCGCTTCCCTCCTTTCCCCGCCTCCTTTCTCTCCCGCTAGTGCGGAATTTACTTCGGGAGTGAATTTCTACTGCGAGACCTGCAGGGTCACTATCTTGTCTGCGGATCCCTGGGAGATTGATGAGCATATCGCCGATCACGCATATGCAGCTTGCGAGAAGGAAGAGGTGGTGGGGATGGATTGGTTAAGTCAGCTGAGGGAGGCTGCTGGGTGGGTGAAGGAGGTGGAGGTGGAGGTGGATGATATGGAGGGGGTAGAGGAAGTGAAGCAGGGTGGCATGGAATGCGAATACAATGGGTGGGCATGGAAGATAGGGACGGATGGTAAGGTGCTTGGAAGCATACGGCGTAGTCCGTCTTGTTAGAGGTCGAGCGTGGATTGATATGTATCCGCCAGGATACCTTCTAAATATGTGTAACTTGCGAAGCAGCGTCGGTGTAGTCTACTAGAATATTTTCAACATGGTAGTTGCACCATGATACATACACAATTCAATGAGCATAATCATATTGAATTTCCAACTATCTTCCTATCCCTGCACCATCCCAACGTATAGGTATCGAGAGTATCCCACAATGAAACGCCGCCCAATGCACTCGCACTCGCACTCACTGCAATGCCACGAAAACGCCATATATGCTGACCAGATACCATATTACCCCCACAACCATAACAGCCAAGCCGACCAACTAGGTATCCGTCTTAGGCTTCTTGTTCGGCAGCGCCGGCACCTTGAAACCACCAGCATCCACCTTCGAGCTACCATTGAGCTGCGTGAATGAACCACCCTTGAACCACCTGTCCTCGTCTGCCTTCCTCTTACGGTTGGCTTCCTCTCGCGCCTTGGGATCGACCAACTCGAGGCCTTGGACAGGTGTGAACGCGATGGAGTTCGTTCCCGCACCACCAAGACCCACACCACCGGTTCGTAGGCCCTGGGCACGTAGACTGGTCGCCGTACCGCTTCCGCCAAAGCCCTTGAGAGACGAAGCGGCACCGAGAGTGGTGTCTGTGCCCCAGCCGGGGTTCTTCTTGCTGAGTTTGGCGCGGGTCTTGGGGTCGATTTGTTGCGCGCGGAGTCGTCCGGTGTCTGTGGCTCCGATCATGCCCATGCCTGCTACGGAGTCGCCATATCCGACTTCCTTCTCTTCTTTGCCAAAAGTCATCCGGTTTTGAGCCTTGCGTATCTCGGTCATTGCTGTTGCTTCCTTGGCCTTGCGGGCTCGCCTTCCACCTCTCTTGCGGGACGGCTTCTCATCAGGTACGGGAAGGGCCCTTCCTCCGGCCTTTTGATTCGCTGGCATTTCGACCAGCTTGTCTAGACGCCGCTCGCATTCTTTCCTCAGGTCCATACCTATATCGGCAGTGCCGGTGTTGGAATGGGCATCTACACGTGCGGCGAGAATGACCTTAGCAGCCACAATACGTAGCGCCTGCTTCCTCAGATCTGGCCTTTGGTTCTGGATAATGTCGCTGTGGTACAGGTAACCCTCGTGCCTCAGACCCATGTTCGAAAGTCCGACAGTAGCACCCGAGACTTTGGTCGAACCTAGAGGTGCAATATTGCAAGCGGGAGTCTTGGCTAGGTTCGCGATACCGCCCGAGTATGAGATAAGATGGGCGGCAGTCAAACTTCCAATGAGCGCGGTAAGGTTGGGTGCGAACAGCTCAGTTCGGGATTCAACGAAACCGAGAATCTTAGACTTAGCGGCGTGCAGCTCGAGCAGCAGATGGCAGGCGCTTGAAACCAAGTCGAGTTCAGTCTGTTCAAGAAGTCTTCCTTCGACACGCGTGGCTTCAATCTCGACAATCATGACCTGGGCAGGTTCCATTCCTTCGATTTGCCTCAGCTTGGGGCTGATATCTTTGATGCTTGACAAAGGTCCGCCGCCGATGACCAAACATGCTTTAGCGTAGACGACAGGGTTCTTGATCAGATCCTCCAAATGGGGGAAGAAGGCCGAATAGTGGTCGCGAATGAACTTGTGGACGCTAGCAGTCTCGCCATCGATCTGTGTGGAGAACTCGTTGGCTTCTGTGAGGAGTTGGTATTCCGGAGATTCCTCAAACGATTCGCCCTCGACTATGTCCATCTGGTCCTTGGCCTCTTCGATGCGCTTGAGGACGGGGTCCAGGTTCGTCTTGAGCTGCTGCGCGGATCGAATGTCGGCCGGGCCCTTGTTTTCTTTGTCCTTGTCCTGCTGCTTCTCGCGGTATTGCGCCTCCTCGTCGACCATGTCATCGTCGTCGCCAGAACCCTCGGCGAAGTCATTCTCCAGATCCTGGACATCCTCATCACCACTGTCTGCGAAGTCCGCCAGGAGCTCTTGCTCAAGGGTCGCCATGGCAGAATGTAGGCTGGGGGTATTCGGGGGATGTGCGGGTGAGCGTCGCTACCAGGCAATAGCAGTTGGGGGTGTCGAGGAAGTCGCGACGGCGGCCAGAGGTTACCCTCCTAGTGGATATCGGTTGAGTGCTGGGTTCGATATCGTTGGTATACTACGTACCTGTTGCCTGAGATGGCCGCCGGTCGAGTTGTGAATGCGCGCGGGAGAGTGTCGTGGGGAGAGAGAAGTTGCGACGGCAGTGACGTGAAAGTGCTAATTGCTTGGCGTGCAGCGGATAAAAGTTGCGCTAAGGCAGTCGCGTTCTCACGTTACAAAATAATCTTGTCGCATCGCAGAACGACGACCGACATACGACAATTGCTGTCGCCAAGCTATTGTACCGTAGTCGTACTGCGCAGGCATCCGCGATCACGTGTTCGGTGGTTTGAGCGGTCCGGACCAACCCTTGGAGCTCTGTTACTCCGACACGACCCAGGCGCGACAGCCTTCACGACCGACGTGCGCCTCGTCCGCTATCACCATCGCGCGCATACCACTACCTCCCATATAAAGCCCTCGATCATCATATTCAAACGCCAACATGGAGGCCTCACGAGGACCCCCGCGGGTCAAGAACAAGGCCGCGGCGGCTGTCCAGATCTCTGCCGAACAATTGCTGAGGGAAGCCGTCGACCGTCAAGATGAGAAGCTCAAGGCGCCAACGCAGCGCTTCGCCGACATCGAGGAGCTGCATGAGTTCCAGGGGAGGAAGAGGAAGGAGTTTGAGGACTATGTGCGGCGGAACCGTATTAACATGAACAACTGGATGCGCTATGCTTCCTGGGAGCTGGAGCAGAAGGAATTTCGACGTGCCCGAAGCATCTTTGAACGAGCTCTCGATGTCGACTCAACCTCCGTCCCGTTATGGCTGCGATACATTGAGAGTGAGATGAAGCATCGCAACGTCCAGCATGCCCGTAACCTTCTCGACCGCGCCGTTACCATTCTTCCGCGAGTCGACAAGCTATGGTACAAGTATGTCTATATGGAGGAGACGCTAGGCAACATCGACGGTGCCCGCTCCGTCTTCGAACGCTGGATGCAGTGGGAGCCTGAGGAGGCGGCATGGAGCTCATACATCAAGTTGGAGAAGAGGCACGGCGAATTTGAGAGATGCCGGGCAATCTTTGAGCGCTTCACCGTCGTTCATCCCGAACCCAAGAACTGGATCAAATGGGCCAAGTTTGAGGAGGAGAACGGCACCAGCGACCTCGTGCGCGATGTCTACGGTACCGCCGTCACAACACTGGGAGACGACTTCATGGATGAGAAACTTTTCATGGCATACGCGAAGTTCGAGGCAAGACTGAAAGAGCTGGAACGTGCCCGAGCTATCTACAAATTCGCTCTTGACCGCATGCCACGATCGAAATCGGTTAACCTACACAAAGCCTTCACAACCTTCGAGAAGCAGTACGGAGATCGAGACGGTATTGAAGACGTAATCCTGTCGAAACGACGTGTACACTACGAGGAGCAGATCAAAGAGAACCCCAAGAACTATGACAGCTGGATCGATTTTGCCAGACTGGAAGAGACGTCTGGCAACCCCGACCGAGTCCGCGACATATACGAGCGAGCGATCGCCCAGATACCACCCACACAGGAGAAGCGCCACTGGAGGCGGTATATATATCTTTGGCTGTTCTACGCAGTCTGGGAGGAGACAGTTTCGCACGACATTGAGCGAACCCGTCAAATCTACCAAGAGTGCATACGTTTGCTGCCACACAAGCGCTTCACGTTCGCCAAAGTATGGCTGGCTTTTGCTCATTTCCTCGTGCGACAAGGAGAGCTCACCGCTGCACGCAAGCTGCTGGGTCAAAGTTTGGGCATGTGTCCAAAGGACAAGCTCTTCAAGGGCTACATCGAACTGGAGATGAAGCTCTTCGAGTTCAACCGCTGTCGGCAGCTTTACACCAAGTACATCGAGTGGAACGGCTCAAACTGCCACACATGGATCAACTTCGCCAACCTGGAGCGTGGTCTCGATGATCTCGACCGTGCGCGGAGCATCTTCGAAATCGCCGTCGACACGCAAGAAATGGACATGCCGGAAGTTCTATGGAAAGCATACATCGATTTCGAAGAAGAAGAAGGCGAATACGGCCGCACACGTGCACTATACGAGCGCCTCCTCGAAAAGACCGACCACGTCAAAGTCTGGTTGTCCTACGCGCAATTCGAACTCGGCGTACCCGACGAGACCACCCCCGAAGACGACGAAACAATCAGCGAGCTCGCCAAATCCCGCGCTCGCGAAGTCTTCACCCGCGCGCACACCCGACTCAAGGAGAAGGACCTCAAGGAAGACCGCGTGGCGCTCCTCAGCGCCTGGAAGGCATTCGAAGACGTTCATGGAACAGCAGAGGACAAGGACAAGATCGAGAAACAGATGCCCCGCAAGGTCAAGAAGAGGAGAAAGTTGGACGACGACAGCTTCGAGGAATACGTCGATTACGTTTTCCCGGCCGACGACGAGAGTGCTGCGAAGTTGGCGAAGCTCATGGCCAATGCGCAGAGGTGGAAGATGGCGCAGGCTGCGAAGGCGGCTGCGGAAGAGAATGGGGATGGTGCGGAGGGCAATGGCGAGTGAGGAGATTTGTGGTGTTTGGTTTGGACTGTGTGCGTGAAGTAGAGGGAATCAACATTGCATGCAGGTCAACAGTCATCATATCTTTCGTGACGTTAAAAGTAACACAATACACAACGATTCTAGTGTGCGTATGTCGAGGATTTCCAACACCAAAAGCGTTGCCCTAATCATTTGGCTCCACCATGCTCGTGCGGGCGTAGTGCCAATGACGTCGTGTAGCTCCAATGGGAATTGCCTCGGCATCTTCCCCGGATTCTGCAACCTCCGCAACCAACTCCGCAAGCTCTACTACCCATTTGACAAATACATAACACTCGCAACTGTGAAAGCTCTATCAACACGCTACAGTAGGCATCAAAAATACTTTTAAGACTTTAAAGGAAGCTTTCACGATGCCAACCGCAGTTGCGAAGGTCCAGCGGCAGGGAATGAGCAAGGAGCTCTCTGAGCCTTTACCCGAGCCGGAGACTTTTGAGGGATTGAAGGGGGTCAGGGAGATCGCGGGGGATCTGGGTAATCAGTGAGTGTGGGGAGTGCCCGTGCAGTTGTAGCTGGACGCGCTTGTGCTAATGACAAGCAGACGCGTCAAAGACAAGGTCATCATCGTTACTGGTATGCCCGCCATTCCCAGCAATTCTCATACAGAGACAACGTCTAATAGCACAAATAGGTGCAAACTCGGAGATAGGCATCGGCCGCGCAAGTGCGCATCAATTCGCGCGCAACGGCGCCCGCGCAATCTACGTATGCGACTTCGCCGACAACCACCTCGAGACACACAAGCGCCAACTCAACACCCTCTACCCCTCCACCGAGGTCCACATCCGGCAATTCGATGCAGCAGACGAAGCATCCGTACAAAAGGTCTGCCAAGAAGCTCTAGACACCTACGGCCGTCTCGATGTCTTCTTCGCCAACGCAGGAATCTCATCTGGCAAGGTGTTCTGGGAGGAATCAACAGAAGGCTTCATGAACGTCCTGCGCACAAACGCTCTATCCGTCTTCCTCGCCGCAAAACACGCATCGCGCGCTATGCTCAAGACCTCGGATGAGAAACCATACCCAAAGGGCAGCATCATCGCCACAGCAAGCGTAGCAGGTCTCCGCTCCAACGCCGGGCCCACAGACTACTCCGCCTCCAAAGCCGCCGTCATCAGTCTCATGCAGACGTGCGCATACCAACTCGCCGGCTCCGGCATCAGGTGCAACGCCGTCTGCCCTGGGCTGATCGAAACGGGTATGACGAGGGTCACGTACGACGCGGCGAGGAAGAGGGGTAGCGAGCAGAAGATTGGTCAGTTGAATCCACTTCAAAGAGGAGGGCAGCCGGATGAGATTGCGAGGGCGGTGCTGTTCCTGGCTAGTGATGAGGCTAGCTATGTTAATGCGCAGGCTTGGGCTGTGGATGGTGGGTTGAGTGGAGGACTGCCTTTTGTACCGGGGAAGTTGGCGTAGATCTGGAAAGAGTGCGCGAGGGTCCTGGCACGAGAGATTGTGGCAGTGATCTATGTCTGAAGGCATCATCGCGATTTCTCTCGACGTAAATCGCGATGATTCCTTCCGACATAGATCACTGACACAATCATGCGGTACCTAGGTGAAATAGGGAAATATTACGCAGGCTCCTCGCGCCCAGTATACTCGAAACTCGTCACCGACATGCGCATAAATGGCTGCAGACTGTTTCCGCTCACGTGTCGTTACACTATCAAAACCCTTCATTTATCGCTCAGCCAGCCAAGACCCTGTGCTTACGAACACACATCCAACGACTAACCGCGACGTCCCTGGATCCATAGTACGCAGGTACCCTCCAGTCCCAACAAAACAAGAAGCGTGGTATTAGTATGATGTATCCGAACCATGGTTTGGCTCAGGGTAACCGAAGCATTTGCTCATGATAATTCGGACCCTTTCTCTCCCCATCTTCTTGCACTTCATCTCCTACGTTCAAGGGACAACAAGGCATCCACTCCAACAAGAAACTTTTACCCGACAATACTACTCACCAGCGTCGAAATGGCGGAGATACCAAGCATGACCCCGGAAGTCCCGAGCATGATCCAAAACCCCTCAGACGTTCTCCCACCATTCGCACCCTCACGCCGAGCCACAGTTCCCGGTCGTCGATCGCCATCACAACCAGCCCCAACTATCTATCTCAGAGGCTTCAACTGCGTCGCCAGCGACCCAGAGTATGACCTTGCACGAAGTGTGACTGGAAACGTGCAGCCGTACTGGTTCGAAGAAACGCGCAGTCCTGCAGTCCACTATGGCCCTTCTAGAAGACAAAGAAGAGAAAACGCTACGCGACGAGGTTATCAGGTCGAAGACACTTATCTCGTCATGCCTAACACCGAGGAAGCTAAGCGGTCGGACAAGAAGGATGTGCAGCGAGAAGAGGCGAAAGAAGCATTCCTGGAAGCCATGTGGCCAACAATCCGCGACGAATACCTTGCCATGTTCAATCTAACTAGCCTCGCGCCACAGCAAGAGAAACGGATGAAGACCGACACCTTGGTGTTTCTGGAGGAGGAGTGGAATATCCTGGAGGAAGAGCGCAGGACTGAGACTGAGGGGCGAGAGGAGATGGAGCAGCAAGGAAAGGCTATCGTTCGCTTGCCGGTTCGCAACGTTTCGGATGGGAAAGGGGCGTCGGAGAAGAAGTTCAAGATGAAGGGGAAGGGGAAGGGGAAGGGTGAGGTGAAGGTGAAAGATGGAAGTGGGGTGGAGGCGAAAGGGGAGAAGAAGGGGAGTATCTCGCAGAGACTGAGGAAGGTTTTGGGGATGACTGCGAGGCCGGTGGTGGTGAAAGATGGGGTTGTTGCGCCGCCGTTTCATCCGGTATTGTGAGGTCGGTTTGATGACCAACCTCGATACAGTACGAATTACGGTACTATAGTGGCGGCCAGGGCACAGTATCGGACTGGAGCACTTCGCTAGAGACAAAGATGGCAGTCTGTGGACTCTATAATCGATAAGGCCAATTCATCTACTTTCTCCCATGGTACTGCAGCGATGCCGAGCAAACGAGCCACTCACAGCTTCCGAGTTGCTTATCACATCTATTTGACTAGGTCCCATTTAACAATGAATATCATCATTTCAAAAACTGAGCAGCCAAATGTGTGAAAACTTCGCTTGATGTTGACGTATTTCGCGAAGCACGTTGTGCGCAAGTGTTCTTTCTCCGACACGCAAAACTGCCTTCCAAATTCATCACTCCCCGTGACTATCTCAATCCACATTCACCACGACAACCAGCTCCGCCGCCACATTCGTATTCGGCCAACTCTCACTTTGAGCTATGACCGCGCGAACATTTTTACCTTGAGCTTCTCTCACTTCTGCGCCTACCAATATTTCTCCCACACACCGGCTCACCACGACCACCACAACAGCCATGGAGAGTCGCCAACCACTCCCCGAGCGCCCCAGCTCAAACGACTACATCGACAAGACACAATTGTCGTTCAACGCACTCGAGGCGCAGAGATGGGATCGCGCATTGGAGAGCTCGCAGCGCGCACTCAACCAGTCGATGAACTTGCCCGGCTATCAAGACATGTGTAACTACAGCGCACCCATTCGGGGCCGCGACTTTCAAGGGAGTCCAGCCTGGTCTGAAGGCACTATGAGTGCTGGCCCAGGTGACGACACTTTCCAGTCTCCTTCTAGCGACAGGACTGTTAAGTTGAGCAGCGGCTACAAGGAACTCGAGGACAGCAGTGCCTATACCTTCTTTCCGACGCCTTTCACCGTCGCCGCGACATCAGAGACGGGTGCTACGAATGGCTCCGCGTCTTCAGGTTCTGATATCTCACCGTTGTCTCAGCGCCAGTCTTTCGCTCGCGTCGCGGTCGAGTCACCTTTTCGACCTGAGTTCGGCGGTCCGGTCCAGGCTCCCCCCAGCCACGGCATGAGGTGGTCTCCTGCGCAGCTACAGAAAGATATCGCACGAAACTCCGACAGCTTCTATTCCCACCCCAGCATAGCCAAGACTCATGTTCCCTCCCGTCCGCAGTCAACGTTCCCCATTCCACGAAACATGCCTTTCGAGGAGATGATCGTACCGCGCGGACCGAACCTGCATCAACGAAGACTCGATGCTAGAGTGTCAAGCTCGCCGGGTATACCGTCGCCCCTCGGTCCTGGTTGTATGCGGGAGCAGCTCCACGAGGGAGACGTTGGAGATGTGTCGCTCTCACCAGTCCCGAACGGGCGTCTTCACACGAGCGATAAGATGAAGTACGGGAAGACCAGGTCAAGCAACAAGGAAACGAAGACCGTCTGGCAGAACACCCCACCTCCACATTCACCTACCGTGCAGCGCTACGCATCCAGCGGCTCCATCGACTCGCCCATGTTCGACGTATACCCGCGAAGCGCTGAGATAGACGAAGAAGGGAACTTGACCTTGGGTGGATCGCCGTACAGTAACGGTTCTGGACATGCGCGAAAGCACACTGATCCTTTCGTTGACCATAAGCCGTTTCAGGTCAGCACGGGGTCTACGACACGCATGTGTGGAGTTGGTGCGCCTGGTTGGCCTTTCCCACCGGCTGGCACTCGCCCGCCGTCTGTCCACCCTAGCATGTATGGAGGTACTCGGCCGCCTTTCCATAACCTGGCTGGCATTCAGATGTGTGGGAGTAACAATGGGATTAGCTGGGATCCCAAATCTCCGGAGTTCGTGGGCATGGTATCTGTTGATCGCCTACGTGGGAGTAACAGTGGCATGAGCTTCAAGCCCTACGGTCCACCATCCGGGTTTGGTAATGTTCGGATGGGTGAAACTCAGCCCTTCCATCGCCCGTCGAATGTCATTGTGTGTGAGGCTCCTCTAGCCACACCATCACCATCTGAGACTCGCACGAGCAGCGGTTTCAAGCCCTTCATGTCCTCAACCCCATTCACACCATCCGAGACTCGCATGAACGGCACCTTCGGAAAGCCCTTCATGCCCTCATCTCAGTCGTTCGGACAACCCCTTCGTAAATCATCCACTGCAACATGGCCCACCTCCGCGCCCGCAACATCCGGCTTCGCCACCCCAGCCTCGCCAGAAGACCCCCACTCCGCACGTGAACCAGGCTTCCAAGCCCGTCTACCTCTCCGCTCAAACCTACCCATCCCGCCTCCCCCACTTTCCTCCATCTCAGGCCAGTACGACCACAGCCCCTCAGCCCGCGCCCGTCTCGACGCCCAGAAGCCCATCCGCTCAGCCTGGATCCGCTCCGAAGCATCCAAGATAGCCCAGCTAGCAAAACTTCGCCACGCAATGGAGAAGCGGTATGAGGAAACCCGTTCGGACAAAGACTACGCAGCCTGGCAAACTCTCCAAGCCGCTTATGAGGATGCTACGGACCTGGAGAAGAGGCAGGAAGAGAGGCGGAACTTATTCCTGAAGGAGAAGAAGATGGAGGCGTTGAAGACTGATGTCGTTGGGGATATGTCTGCTGCGAGTCGTGGTGGTATGAAGGTGGAGGGGGAGGGGGAGGAGAAGTTGCTGGGGTATAATATGGCGCTTATGGAGCGTGTGTGTGCGGAGGTTAAGCCTGATGGGGATGAGGAGGCTATCACGGTTGAGATGTTGGCGACGTTGAGTAAAGAGGAGAAGAAGGCTATTCGGAAGCTGCTCGTTGGTCGGATGGAGCGGATGACTTGATTGCGCTTCGTGGTCTGGTCGTCGAGCTTTGAGCAGGAGTGGTAGCGTACCAGGAGCGGAGTGTTAAGGTTGAGATCTTGTATGTAGACGAGAACTTGCCACCAAGAAATGAAACGATGTATACATCACCTACAAATCTCTATGCCGCACCACCGGCCATAATCTTCTTCCCCTTGACACTCTTCTGCTCCATACCCAGACTAACAAAGAACGCCACACTACTCGTCGCAATCGCCAATATGAAAGCCGTGACGATCGCGTTGTTGTACCCATGCAACACTCCCGGTAGCAGATCCTCAGGCACAACATTCCTCAAATTCGTCGCCCCAGCATTCGCCACGATGCGCGCATCAAACCCCGGCGCATACCTCGGCACCTCCTTCGCCAACGTATTAACAAAGATGTTCTGCGCAATAGAAATCGAAAGCGCGCCACCCAGCGAATTGAAAAACATAACGCACGCATTGGCTGTAGGCATATCCTTCTCATTCGTAACAACCTGCACAGCGACGAACGGGATTTGTACACCGGCTCCTGCGCCGATACCCGCGAGGATCTGGTAGCCGATACATTGGGCGGGCGGGGAGTGGACGGTGAGGGTGTACAACATGCCTGCGCCGATGGCGAAGATGGCGCTGCCGAACCACATGAAGGGGGCGTACCAGCCGACGAGGGTGATGAGGCCGCCGATGACGATGGAGGACACGGTTATGCTGACGAGGTAGGCGATGGTGCGGATGCCGGATTCTTCGGCGGAGGTGCCTTTGATGGCTTGGAAGTAGAAGGGGAGGTAGAAGATGTGGCTGGTTGGGTGTTAGGGGATAGCTTGTAGGAGTGGATGATGGATGGGGGTAGGACTTACGTGTACAAAGCCATGGATAGGAGTGTCGAATATAAGCAACTGACTAAAACTGTTCGCTGTGTAAACACTCGAACGGGTATCGTTGCCCGATCTCCCTTGCGTATCTGCAAGCCGATGAAGACAGAGATGAGCAGTCCGAAGCCCAGCAGCGTCCCCCAGACCTTCGAGTTACTCCACGCGTAACTGAACCCACCCCACTGCAGACACAACAGCAAACAAACAATCGCACAGATCAAGAAAACAGCCCCCACGATGTCAATGTTCTTCAACCGCTGCTTCACCGGCAGATGCGAGTACATCCTCTTCGGATTCGTAAAGAAGAAGAACACGACACCCAGGCTCACAGCACCAAAAGGAAGATTGATCCAGAAGCACCATCTCCAGCTTGCTCGATCCGTAAGCGCACCACCAAGGATAGGTCCAACAACCGATGCAATCCCAAACATACTCGACAGCGCCGCAATATAAATAGCCCTTTTCCTCAACGGCACCGAAAACCCAATAATCGTCATCCCCCCCGAATACAACGCCGCCGCCCCCGCTCCCGCAACCGCCCTCCCCACAATAAACATAGCCGAACTAGTCGCTACGGCGCAAATCACACTTCCTACCTCAAACAGAATCAAAGCAGAGAGGTACGTGTATTTGACATCGAAGTAGGTATACACTTTCCCGAAAGAGGGCTGGAGGGATGTGGTGGTGAGGAGGTAGGAGGATCCGTACCAGCCTACATCTTCGAGGCTGTTGAAGACGGTGGTGATGCGGGGGATTGCGGTTGCGATTATGGTGTTGTCGAGGGCGATTACGAAGGTGGTTAGGCAGAGGCCGAGGGTTAGGATGGCGAGTTTGGGGCCGTGGAGGTATTGCGATTCGGAGGAGGGGGTTGTGTCTTCGGGGGTTGTGTCATCGGCGGACTTTTCCTTCGCGATGGCTTCTGCTGTGCTCTTCGCTTTATCTGGGTGTGAGGGGTCGGTGGTGTTTGGTGATGATACTGGGGGTGGCGGTGTCTTTTCTGGATCGCGGGTATGTGTCTGGTCGGTCGTGTCATGATTCGCGGACGCATTCTCGAAATGCTCCTTTGGTTCTTCCAATCTCGGTTCAGAACGTCCAGGTACTTGTGCAGTCTCATCATGCGTGCTTGCGCCATCCGCCATCTTCGTAGTATCGGTCGCCTGCATGCCGGCAGCGGGCCCGGCTCAACACAGGGAGGACTTGCCGTCTGCGGGCCGCTGTAAACTATGTGGAACCTGTCAACGGGTATCGAGTGTATCGAATCAAACAATTTCGCGGCAGTGGCATGTATGTCGCACAGAATCCTTCGCCGTCGCAGAGTGAGGCGAATGCAGCAAGGAGCAGAAGCTTCGAATAGCAGCATCAAGACAGACCACCACAACCTTTTGTTTCTATACACAACCCCATGATCACGCGCCGCAATCAAGGTGCAACCCTTTCGAGCCGTGCGACCGTATTCTGTACGGTAATTGGGATGTCAGATGGGCATCTGCAACCGAGGACGTGAGTTGGGGCGCGGGACGTTTAGATGCCGAGGGGAGTGCGACCAATGGAAAAATTCACGGGAATTATCCTTGTGTAAATGATCACCGTTGGGTTCGGTTAGGATTGCAGGTTGCAGATTGCATAGGCCGTTTGTGTCGCTGGTTGGATACGTCTTCGTGAGCTGTTGTTGGTCGTTTGCGACGATGTCGTGATACGCCAGCATCTTGCTCGAAGGGCTTGGCGCATGATATCATGTCTATCAGCAATACAGAATGGGCAACCAGAATGCTGTCATGGTAAGGAAGGAGCGACGCTGCCGTCGCAGTCGCGGTTGTGGTGCTGTCATATCGCGACTTCCGTTATCCTCGGCTAAACACCCCGACCATGACGATCGCCCACCAAAAAGTCTAGAGCATCCTCGAATCCGAACGCGAGCATGTGTAGAGGAACCCTTGTCTTGGAAGGTATCCGCGAACGTAGATCTGCCCTCGGGTCGCTGTGGGTATCGTGGTGGGCGTGATCAGCCCGGATGGTGGGGTAGCTAACCTGCGTGCTAGGGCTTTCCTTTTGCGAGAGGAGGTGCTTCAAGCTTCATCCTTGACAGTTTGGGAAAGAGCGCTGCGGGCCGTTTCGCTCCCGTAAGTGTGCCATTGGAGGACGTCACTTTGAGATGGAAGTTGGAAAGATGGGTATGAATGTTTGTATATTGTAAGTCTAACGGTTGTGATATATGTGATTGGAGGGAGTAATGAGGAAGATGTTAGATACGTGTGAGCGTGAAATATAGGTGGGCTAGGTAGAGATCCTCCTTCTATAACTCGTCTAGCCCGAACAAACAGCACAAGCTGTCTCGACCTTGACAGTAGCGAGGATTACGCCGTCGTGGCCGCGTGCGCACTTTCGCTGCGAGATCTGGCCCTTGGGACACATTTGCTGGAAAATCATCTGGGTGTGTCCGCACTTGTGGGAGTAGGCGTGGTAGAAACACATTGTGAGTTTGTGTTTTGCGTGACGTTGGTAATGACCGTGAGATCGGATAGCCTCTTTGTATGGTGGATGAGATGGTGTGACTCGGAGTCTACTTCATGGTCAGCAATGGTGCTCTTCCAAAGTACACTGTGGCCTTGGCGAGCTCCTGTCGTGTGTCATACCTTGAATAGAGTTCGGATCGGACAATGAAGGAGCAAAAGAACGTATGCTGAGATGATTGACAGCGTGATACTGTTGGAACGAAAGTGTTGGATAAGAACGCTCGATAGAAGTCCAGATGACCGATGTTGTGACCATCTCTTTCGTATGCCTCAGCTCTTATACCGCGACGCATGCGTTAATAGGTTCATGATTGCATGATTGCTAGCTATTGCCCGAGTTGCGCGGTTTGATACCCGCGAGCAACCAAGCAATTAGACTCTTATCCGTCTGGTTGAACAACCACGGCAAGGCGTTTCGAAGACTAAGCGGATGCCAGTCCCGCAACGATAACTTCCCAAAATGATTCACGGCTTATCGTCGACTGCTGGCATTGAGGTTGTACTAAGCCATTTGATGAGAGACGTGAGCAGTCAACAAGTGCAGTCAGCACCTGTGCTGAAGATGCTGCGCCAGCGTCGTCGCGCAACCAGCGACGGGCGGCTCCGGATAGGCGAGCACGAAGCAACTGTTTGGCTTACTCAAGTCCCACGAACCCATACTCGCCGGGAGACAGCCATACTAAGAGATGACCAAACATCAGATCTGACAATGGCGAGATTTGCTCTTCTGGACGGTACCACGGGGGCGGCCATCATGGTAGTTTGCTTGATTTGAGGACCGGAAAATCGCCGCACTTGTTCATGTTTCCCTCAAACCCGCCGTACCGTCGGAAATCAACCGACGTTCCTTGCGACGTTTGGTTCCGTTGAAGTTTGCGCAATCGTCGTCGTGATTTGCGGCCACCTTGCCTCGGTATGTCCCGGTCACACGGTGCTGGAATCTCGAGCGTTTCTACCAAGTTGCGGAGCTGAAAGCTCAGACACACAATCTAGTGCCGTCATGGTCGTAAATCAAGAAGGCTGGCTATCAGTAGTGCTCTTAGCTGCCGACGACATTGGGCCAGCATTTTCGAAATTCCAGCCAATGAGCATGCAGCCTCACCGCCAATTCGTGTGGAGACTTTCGATGCAGATACGCCGCCAGATCCCGCAGATGACGAGACGATAGCTCGGATCTATCAATGAATGCTAGTTTCTTGGATGTAAAGATGGTGGGTAGGGTTCCCAATGGAGGTATCGGGTCCATGTCGCCTTCGAGGCTGGGAGTTGCAGAGAGATCCACTCGGGCATATTGCTAAGCCTGCAGGATACATGTTGACATGCCAGGGACGCCCGTCTACATCAGTGTCTCGTCAGCATGCATCGTGCTAGTCCTCACCGTGGGGTAGAGGGCCCGAGTGACAACGCAAGCGCATGCTGTCCGTGGCGGAGTTGGAAGCGCCATGGTTAGGGCTGTCGAAGCGTCTCTTGCGGCAGACGGACAAGTAGCATGATGGCATACTGCACCCCACTCAGCCGTGGAACGATGCGCTGGCAAACGGTGTGGTTCATCTGAGACTGCAGGCGAGGCACAGGCGTGCATGGGCGCGTTGGCGAGGCTCTTAAGCGGGCGTGTTGGAGAGGCGTTGACGTCGAGCAAGAGAATAAGTGAAGGCAGCTCTAGCCTGGGTGCCAGCTGGCAGCGCCCCGTCTGAACTATTAACGGCAAAAAGGACATGCAGCGACGTGAGCAGTTTAGCGGAGGAGTTCGACGCTTGACACGTAGCCCACCATAGCTCGCCTGTCTGCAGATTGACGCAGGAGCTGCACCTGCGTCTCCAGCAGGCCGGATAGAGTGCGCGGGTTACTACTAGCATGCGTTTCCTCAGCGTTCGCCCTGCCATTTCCTTTTTGCGCCGTTGGTGAAGTTGTCATTTTCGCATCGCGACGGCCGCCCGCTCTTCAACACCAGGCCGAGCGCAAGGGTCTGCGCATCACCAGAAGACGCCCCGCCGCCTGCCCTGAGCGCGATCGAACGGCTATCCGAGTATCTCGAGGCATTGCAGGTGTGCGCGGCCCAGTTTCGCTTCCTCGGCGTCCCAAACAGCTGCACTGACCGCTGCCACACCGCCTGCCGACGTCACGGCCCTTAAGACGGTCGCATTGCCTCGTGCGCGCTGGACGAGCAAAGCTGGCTTGGTCGCCATGAATGCGCTGTCCACGGCCTCGCACCCTCAACATCCACCGCGCAATTGACGTCTGACGTCTGCTAGCCTGTCGCAAAAGGGTCTCGCAGCGCCTCACCTCTTGCGCCCGCCCATTGGCTCCGCCATCACCCCCGCCGTCGAATAAGAGACCGGCACTCGCCCTAACCATCGACACCGTCTCGCCCTATCCGTTTCCAGATATCCCGATCGAGGTGAGCCGTTGCTGCTTCCCATGATCTGGAAGCAAGACTGACAGTTGGCCAGACAGTTCATCACCCGTGGCGCACCCACGACCTTCTTCCACCGCTTCATCTTTCTGCGCCCAGCATTCTTCACCAACGTATATCTATACGCTGTGTCATGATATTCGCCTCCATCGCAATCGCCTAATTCAACAAATCTCCGAGTAGCGCTTTCCCACTTGGGCCATCACGAGAATCGACCTTCACCCGCGCAAGGGTCGCGCACGGACATCCCGTCGTCTACCGAAACACATCAATTGGCCAGCACGCGCTGCACCGGTGCCAGAGCCTCATCTCCAGCGCGGCATCAGCGCGCGGTGTCATCGGTCAGCCTGGGCCGGGCTGCACTGTGTCTATCTCTAGAGGATACAGCGCAACGGTCCGGGTTGGCGGTTAAGGTTAGTGCTTCATGAGTCGCGCATTACCATTCACTTCACGATCAACCCATACTTGGCGCAAGCATTCATCTGAGTCCTTTCCATTGCCAAACCCATCATTAATCCGCCTTTCCCCCTGTTGCATCTCAGCTTTGACTTACGAACCATCCAGACTACATCACTGAACCATGGCATCTCTGGACTTTGACCAGAAGTTCCTTGGCCGGATAGCCAAGCAGACTGAAGAAACAAGTCCCTTCCTGTCCAGCGCTCTCTATCAGATCCTCGGTCTGTCAGTTCTCCTGGCCCGGAGACTCATCCGCGCCCGGAAGCTTCGCAAGCTGGACACCAGTCGAGACACTCCCTCGCTCTCGGCCTATCAACATATCCTCTGGATGTCTCGAGAGGGACTCTCCATACTCGAGCTATATGTGCTGCCTTATGCGCAGGACAACCAGCATGGGCCAGAGTGCAGAGTGCTGAGCGTCAAGTTGCGCGCGAGCTTCTACCACATCTTCTGCCTCTTCCACAACCAACCGCCCGTCACGACAATGAACATGACAAGCACTGATCCTCGCAACCCTGCTCTTCCCCCTTTACCAATATCACCACCAAAGCATAGTAATGGACATGGTCGCAAGACCGACCCCCCAGGCTTGTCACCCCCTTCGAAGCGCGCAGGCAAACAACCAGCATTACGCGAACCCATCGACTCCATCGTATCCGAGACTTCCTTCGTCACGAATCCTTATGCAGCAGGAGGGCCAGTCGGCACACCATCACCGGGACCGACGATCAACGCGCCTCCGGGCCTCAATCCG